ATGTGGCTTTTAATAATCTTGATTTATACATTTTTTTTTTCAAAAATATAAAATTGATTTAAAATGGTTTCACTTTAAATATTTAAGATATATTACAATTTATATATACCAAATGAACTCAAGAAAAAGAAAATTAGGTGCGTGAAGAGACTCACCTTCAATACATGTAGACTCGTCCATGTTAGCAAGGAGTCCAACTCCTAACTTGCGTGTGTGTGTGTGTGTGTGTGTGTATATATATATATATATATATATAACCTAGTGGTGGACCCGTGCAAAGCGGCGGCGGCGAATAATATTTTTAGATGATATGTTTCTTTTACAAAAATATTATGTTCCAAAGATAGTACATTTCTAAGACAATAAGATCCAACTTTGACATAATTTGTGCCATGATACATCAAATAATTGAGAAAAAGAAGCGGTTCAAGACGACACAAAATATGAAATGTTTTAGTCATTCAAACAAAAATAATAGAATTATATATGAATACACAAAATATAAAACTGTGTAATAGCGCATGACCGGTTATACATTATTAATTGTGCAGCACTTGTTTATAAACCACATTTGTTGTATAGATTCCGTCACCTTTCTGAAATTTTCGTTAGGCTTCTTGTTTGAATCTTAGAGAAGGTTTCGGGCGATGATTAATACGTTATGTTTTTAGGTTAAAAGTAAAATATGTTTTTATATATTTGGTAAAATAAAATTACGTTTTCAGTTAATAAAATATATCTACTATAATAAATGAAGATTTTTTTTACCACATGTCATCTTCTCATTCATTTGGACACATGATATTTTCTAGAATTTTTAAATTTTCTATTTTCCACTTGTCATTTTGTTGTATTTTTCATTTTATAAAATTAAAATTTCACATTTAATATGTAAGGTAATATATATGTAAAGTATTTATTAGAAATGGTTTATATATGTAATGTATTCAATACATTAAAATCTCATTAATTTTAATAATTCAAAATTTTTCTTATTTTTCTTATAAATTCAAACTATTTAAATTATTAAAATTTCATATTTATTTTTTTTAATTAAACTCATGTAATACATGAGTCTCACACCTAGTGTTGTATTCAAATAAGGTGTCCTGAATCTAACAAATCTTGTCATATATCAACAAATAACACATTGCAGAGGTCGGCGATTTGTTGCGTTTTGACTATTACTTTAATTTCATGGTGGGAAATTGTTTTTTCTTACAATGATTTGTTATAAACATGTCATATTTTAAATAACGACCGGATTAATATGAAAGGGGTGTTGTTTGAGGTTAAAAATTGAAGTTAGGTTGTTTTTTATTAAAAAAAATACATTGTTGTTTTGGGGTAAATCAAAATATGTTAATGTTTTTCGGTAAAAAAATATATAAATATGATTAAGTTTATGTTACACGTTCTAACCAATTTGATGTTAATCTAAAATTATATATTAAGTTAGGTTTTGGAAAACATAATGGCTTGTATTACTCGATAAGTTATTAAAATGTCAAAATTATTAATGATTAAATAAAAAGTTGGTTGCGATTAAAAACATAAAACACTAAATTATCATGTGTTAACTTCCTACAATTATAGAAGTTGGGCTGACATACAAAAAAAAATACAAAAGTTGCTATTATTTTCTAATTTAGCCATTACTCTTGACAAAACACAAAAACTCATTATATTTTTCATCATGATTTAGCTTTCATTAATAAGCAAATGATTTTTTATTTATTGAACACATTAAAAGTCTTCAAGGATTCATTGGGTGATTTTATTCGTTATCGATTCAAAATATTAAAATAACTTGAATTTTTAATCATCAACATGAAAATTAAAATAAATAAATACAATATTGTATATGTTTTAATTAAAAATATGCAACAATTTATATAACAATAATAACGATAACAAATAATATTTAATGAAACATGATCATATAAAAATCTGATAATAATAATAATAATAATAATAATAATAATAATAATAATAATAATAATAATTTAAAAATATCACAAAACCTATAAGAAAATTTATATCATTTCTACAAACTGATTGTAGATAGTTATAACATAAAACTCTTCAAAATATTAATGCCATCATACTATACTTTTTGATTATTTTTAATAGATTAACCCAAGTAGTAAAGTCTTTGGATTTTCGGTTCATGCTTTATGTCAAGCATGGTTAAAAGATCAATGAGTTTATATATTAATGTTTATACCTAATTTGATTTTTATAAAAAAAAAAAAATTAAAAAAAAAAAAATAATGTATGCAATGTTATAAAAGAGTATTAAAATGGACATAATGCATCAAAGTCATCTGTGTGGATCATTCTTTAGCTGTAATTTTACTATTTTAGGTCATAGACATTCCTTAGCTGCAATAGGAAAAACTAAAACCAAAAACTAAAACGGCATAAGGAAATGTATTTTATAAAAAGTAAATTTGTAAACTAATGATGTGGACGGTTACTCGTTTTCTAAATTATATAATAAATTAGTAACTATGATTCACGCAATTCAATACTACAAATCATTCCATTAATTTGAGATAAATTTAACAATAAAGGATCCATATATGTATGAGCATGCTTCATTTGACGCCCATATAGTGAGTAAACCAAAGTAAGCAACTACACTTCTCTCAAATCCGATGCATGTATTTGCATTAGCCACATAGGTATAGTTCCCAAACTACTCCTTCCTACTAAACATCATAAAAACTAAAATTTCTTTTCTTGCAATTTTTTTTTTAAAATAAACCAATTAAACATTGGCTACAGCCTAACAAACCAAAGTTTCCTCATTACCAAAAACTTCTTTAAGTACTCGAACAAATCTGATGCAACCCAACTTTCTACATAATACACACAATGACACAATACAGTCACATACACACATATATAGTTTCACATACAGTAACATACACATACACAATCTCAATCACATAGTTATATACATATCACTGTCACTTCCATTTTGGCATAGAATTGGGTAATAGTTAGGAGGAAAGAGTTACTTTTGAAGAGTGCTACAATGGTTATGGCTAAAAAGATATAAATTAACAAAAACCATTAAATGGCCGCTTTAAAAACCCATTCCAGTTTTTTTTTTTTTTTTTTTTTTTTTTTTTTTTTTTTGAATCGGGTAGATGTTTTGAGTACCATGCTAGATTAGGAAGTAATGAAACCCATTATTTGACATTAAGTTATAAGAAAAGAAATTCGTTTAGAATATATACCTTCATTTTAGCCACAATGTTTATTAGCCCCACATTTGGCTTTTCATCCGGTTAGCTCTGATTCAGTTGTTGAAACAACTATCTATAAAAACGTAGCAGAACATAACATCAGGTGGCAAATCGGTAATTTTCCCTTATCAAATTGTTATAACAAAACCATCAAGTAGCAAAGGATCATGTAAGAATATGTCATTATCAATGTAGATTGAGGTAATTAACCCATCAAGTGGAAAAGCACTGTTAAAACGTAAAATAGCATCAGATGCTATAGCGGATGCCTTTGGTAGTGAAATATAATCCACTCATTGATGGGTATTATAAAAATATGGAGTTTGTAAAATGTATAAACCTGATGCCCAAATTAAGAAAATGGTAACCAATCAAATTACCTATAATGCCCCTCATTGATCAGTTTTGTAAAAATGAACATGCCTCTACTACACTTGTCCCATTGATCTCATACTCAACAGGGTATTCCACTTCTCCTCCCTTGCCTATAATATTGTTATACCTCTGATATTAGGCAAATAAGTTAGTTAAGGGTAATATGGGAAATCATCTAATTAAAGAATATATTATTAGTGGGAGGGGCATTTTAAGCATTTTATAGTATTAGTTGTTTTGTCAGATAGTATAAGAATAGAGTAGTGGGCAGGGAGTGATCTATCTATCTTTTGTGTGAAATTTGGAATTATTTCCTCTGGGAGATTGGCTATCTCGAATCAACTAAACTATCTTCATTCTTGTAAACATTTGGTATTATTGAGTGTTTTCCATCAATATTAGAATCATTTGCTTGTTTATTTGTTATTGAATCTGTTATTACAAACCAGTTCATAACAAATTGGTATCAGAGCAATGAACCTGGTTCCTGTGGATCAAAGAATAGATGCAGCAGAAGAAGGATGGGAAGGAGTGAAATCAGCTCTAACTGATTTGCAGCAACTAATGAACAATCAGTGTTCTCTACTTGTGGAAAAGATGACTGAGATGGCCACTGAGAACAAGAGAGTTTGTTCCATTTTTTCAGAGAACAGAGGTAAACACAACAGCTATAGACTACCGTCGCCGCCACCACCACCGGAAGTTGAAACAAAGAAGAGAGAAACGGTTCTTAAGGAAGGAGGGACCAATCGGAGGTTTCACAAACTTGAGATGCTCTTGTTTAATGGAACTAACGCAGAGGAGTGGATTTTTAACGTGGAAAGGTCATTCTACACGTACGAGGATGAAGAAATGATGAAGGTTGCTGTGAGATCTCTAGAAGGCGACGCCTTACTTTTCTACGAATGGAAGCATCGGAGGCGGCCCATACGAGATTGTGAAGAGCTTAAAGGATTAATACGTCGGCGGTTCAAATCTTCCAACGACGCGGCGGAACATATTTTGGCGAATTCTGAGTTTGGATCGCTAGAATATTCCGACCATGACAGCAGCAAGAATGCAGTTCCATTCCCAGGAGGTCCCAAGCTGCCTTCCGAAGAGCTAGAGATGCCCTTGTTCGATGGTAATCAGTCGGACTGGATCCTAGAGGCTGAATGGTATTTTTGTTTTTACGGATTGAGAGAAGAAGATAAGCTCGATGTTGCAGTGATGGCTCTTCAAGGCGACGCCCTATTGTGGTATGAATGGGAGCACCGAAGACGACCCATTAAAGACTAGGAAGAGATGAAGAGTCTAATTCGTCGTCGGTACACACTACCACTGTACCCGGAATGCGAAGCAAAGAAGAGTGGGGAGACGAACTCGACTATGAACAAGGAAGAAAGGATCGGGGACCGCCGGAAGGTATCGACGTCGTCTCAGGTCACAGCAACGGTGACAGAGATCAAACCAAGCCTCGATAAGGTAACGGCTCCGTTAAAAGACATAACAGAGGCAACATTACTAGGGTTTCACAAAAATGGGCTTAAAAAAAAAAGACTGGGGCCGAAATTAAAGAGCTGTGCCAACAAAAATTATATGAAGTGGACTCGGTTATAAAGGTCCAAAAGAAATTAAGCCCAAGTGTTATTAACGCAGACACAACTCGTCTAACCTCACAGTTAACGGCGATTTCACCAAAATCAGACACCGGTTCATCACTTCTTAACTACACAACACATACCTTGACTGCCCCCTTATGCACCGACTACCTCAAGCAACGGAGGTCTTGTTCAATTCTCAATCAAGTAATAGTGGATGATGAACACCTTATCCTTGCTGTTAAGCCGGATGAAAAAATTCCATGCAAGGTTTTATTGGATGATGCGAATGATGGGGCGAACTATAGGAAGGGAGCACCTACGAAATTCGTCGGTGGTGATCCGATGACAAAACATAGTCGGGAAATCAGACATCTGACCGAGAATGCTATCATCAAAGCGGAGAATACGAAGGAAGGACAAGTTGAACCGTCAGAACTAGCCACTGTTGATTTCCTTGTGAGCACAATTGGTCTTTTCAAAGATCTTCCTCTAATCACTACTAACATGGTACTTTCAATCCTAACTGTTGATTATCCTAAGAATTTGGTCTCTTGTTATGTCTCTCATGATGGTGCTGTAACGCTTTCATTGGAATCTCTTGTTATAATCACCGAGTCGGTGAGGAAGTGGGTCACATTCTGTATTCGGATCTCGATAGAACCGAGTGCACCAGATTTTTACTTCTCTCAAAAGATCGACTAATTGAAAGTTAGAGTACAACCATCCTTTGTGAGGGAAAGTAGAGCAATGAAATGGGATTATGAGGAAAAAGTGCTAATAAATGCCCTGGGAACAAAAGATCAGAAATCCATGGCTAATTCTCATTTTCCTTGGTCTGTTTATGATGTTGCTACTATTATAATTAGAGAATTGATCATCAGATGTGTCTTTCAAATGATTCAGTATCATGTCAATAAGGTCAAGTCTGGATTGAAAAACATGATCGTGGTCTTCATAGCAACAACTTATGATAACCATAAAAACATTGTACACAAGGCGTTTGAAATGGTTGAGAAGATAGTGCAAGATTATTTCTTGTTGTGTACAGAAGAATTGGCTACAATAGATACTGGATCAGCTGCATACAAAATTCTCATGGAGCTTGTACTAACAATTGATGCGGGTAGAAAAGCATTAGCCAAGAACATCACAAAAATTATACCTTATTTTGGATATGTTGAAACAGATAGAAAGACTCAAAGGCACGAATCTATTGCTATAAAACAAGTATCAAATCTCATTATGGAAGAAGGTGCGGATCGTGTTCTTGCTTGTGATTTTCATTCTGGACAGTCAATGGATTATTTTGATATTTCAGTTGACCATGTTTACTGTCAGCATGCTATTCTTGATTATCTTGTCAGCAAGTCAATTTGCTCAAATGATTTGGTAATGTTGTCGCCTGATGTTGGTGGAGTGGCTAGGGCGAGTGCTTTTGCCAAAAAGTTGTCTGATGCACCTTTGGCAATTAATAGAAAAAAGGGTTGCAGACGCAATGTGGCTGAGATGATGAACTTAACTGGTGGAAATGTTTTTATATTGGGTGACATGATTGACAATGTTGGAACTATTTCAAAGGGTACAGCTACTAAAATTTGGCTAGGGAAAGAAGGTACTAACTCCTTAGCCATGGAAAAGCAAAGTATGAGGACGAATGCGAAGTTCCTAGAGAAGTTTGGAGTTGAGGGATGGTATTTTCAAGCGGTGACCGTACGAAGAGGAAAGAATCAAGATGAAGATGAAGACGAAGAGCTAAAGAATTTGCGTATTGGCAATGTTGAGATTGCTGATGTGGCCTGCAAGGCTGATGAGGAAGCTGTTAAAATGATCATGGGGGCAATGGAACAAATGGGTGGAATATATAGAGTGATTGTTGTGGTTGTTGCAGATCATGGTAAGGCTAAGGGCATGAAGAAGAAGCCACTTGAGAGAATTTGGGTGTTATGCATTATTTTTTATCCACCTTGAGGACAAGGTGATTCTTTTTGGGGTGGGGTATTGTTATACCTCTGATATTAGGCAAATAAGTTAGTTAAGGGTAATATGAGAAATCAGCTAATTAAAGAATATCTTATTAGTGGGAGGGGCATTTTAAGCATTTTATAGTATTAGTTGTTTTGTCAGATAGTATAAGAATAGAGTAGTGGGCAGGGAGTGATCTATCTATCTTTTGTGTGAAATTTGGAATTATTTCCTCTGGGAGATTGGCTATCTCGAATCAGCTAAACTATCTTCATTCTTGTAAACATTTGGTATTATTGAGTGTTTTCAATCAATATTAGAATCATTTGCTTGTTTATTTGTTATTGAATCTGTTATTACAAACCAGTTCATAACAAATATAAACACAGAAAATGAAAATTCCAATTTAGAAAAAATAGAAGTTCAATGTAGAAATGAAACTAAAATTCTAACTAAAGCAATCAACTAAAGTTCATTTCTACCTCTTGCTCCTTCTATGTAGTTGGAAATGGTTAGATTCAGATATTAATTGTTCTCAATATAGTCTCTCAATAAGGAATTGATACCCTACACAATAAGATGATTTAAAATTAATTTTGAGAAACAAAATACATACCTGTTGTTTTCTAGAAAAAGAAATAGCATTAATTTGGTAATATAAGCCCTTCCTATTGCAAGTATTCCAATGCTAAGGAGAAATATGCAAACCACAAAATCTTGTCTTTAAGTATCAATAAAAGCTAAACAACCATATATAACAGAAGTGGTATGGAAAATCCACACACAAAAACCTTGTATGCTGAAAAAACCACAATTGTGTAGCCAATCTCATCACCTTCTTCATCACTCTTGGATCCTAATATTTTTTAACATAGTGGATTTATAATGGAACCATCTTATAGTCCGAGACTTTGAGTAACAATAACACAAAATTTGCCTTGAGAAAACATGGTATAAGGTAAGAGAGACACGAACATTTTTTACCGGGAAATTCTAAAAAAGAATAGAAGTTTCGGCTAACTTTGTTTCATTATGGAAGAAACTATATCAACAAAATCAAACAAACATATTGAAGATGAGAAAAAGAAAACGTGAACTTACTTGACAATAATTAGAAGATATTCATAAATAACGAACAATCACAAGCCACGAACGGTTTAAGAAACCTTAAACAAGTTTGGCGATAACCTACAAACAAATACGAAGAACAAACGGAAGCCATGAGAGGATTTCCTCAATACTTCAAATAGAGAAAGTCTAACTTGACATCGATCAAAACAAAAGAGTCGTCGTCTGCATCTTTAACAGGTGGGCTGAATGAGAGAGTTCAGAATTTTAGGTTTTTAATTGGTTGGAAGAGGAGATGCTTTTATATAATGCGTATATAATTATTGTCAAGTAAGTTCACGTTTTCTTTTTCTCATCTTCAATATGTTTGTTTGATTTTGTTGATATAGTTTCTTCCATAATGGATTCTGATTGATGGTGTGTTTGACCGATTCAATTGGTGAAAGTTGCTGCAAGCGAGCGAGGGTTACGATTCAATCCCTACAAGTAAGGCATACTAATTCAAAGGCGTTGTTAAATACATGTATGCATATGGATTGTAGTTTATTCTTAATGTTTTGTACTATTTAAAAAATATTATTATTTTATTGATGATTACGTGTATTATTAGGTTAATGATTTGAACGTTTTAAAAATATATTATTATTATATTTAATCTATTTATAGAAATAGACAGATTTTTTTTATAAGATAGTATATATATATATATATATATATATATATATATATATATATATATATATATACTAGGTTAAAACCCGTGGAACCCACGAGTGCTGTTTTTGAATTGAATTTAAAAATTAATTATTTAATAAAATATTATATCAATAATTTTGATAACTTATAAATTGTAATATTGAATATTTAAATAAATTTTTTTATTGGTAATTATTTAATTACTAACTAAATGGGAAGTATTTAATTAGGAATGAAGATTTTTGAAAACTATTTTTTTTTATTCATCATTCTAATTGGACATATGCAGATGATACAATACCAATGTGTGTAATAAAATTAACATAAAATACAACAATACGTAATTATAAAAAAATACAGTAATATTATGGATTAAGTGTGATTTCCTAAAATTGAATAAAACGACGTTACAAAAAAGTTGGCTACAAATTTCGAAAAACTTCCTTATAAACAACATTGGAAGTTTTATTTCTGAGTTTGCCATCTTTATCTAAAATTAATAATTTTAATCCCTCTCTACTCTGAACTCTAGATAAGGCAACATACAATTGTCCATGTGAAAAAACTGGATCTTTCAGAAACATGGCGATTTACAGTCTAAAGAAGAAAACTGAAACAACCATCCAGGAGCTCAGGAAACTACTCAAAACACTTCCAGAAGATGATCAGCCATATATGGAGTGATACAAAACAAAAAAATCTCCAACTCTTTTGTCATCTTATTATCCATGGTCTCTTTAAATCGTTTTCTCTTTTGATACTATGCTTATGAACAGATGCATGGTTAAGCCTTGTATTCACCTTTAAAAAATATAATCTATCGTTTAGGTCTATTTTGTCATTCCATATATAAAACATAATGCAAACACAGAATAAACCACATGTCAAGCACGTTTATGAAGTTTTATTTTCCTGGAAATTGTCTATTCTGTGTCAGGTACTAAACCGTACCTTTTGCTTTTCAACATAAAGTGATAATTTTGTCACATTAGCAACTCTCTTCAACATAAATATAGATAAGAAAAACTAATTATGTATGTATTCACATTTGCATCTGTTTTATCTCCTCAACATAGAGAAAACAACAAACCAAAAAGGTTTCATCCGACCTCCGCATCGCGGGGGCTCCCCTCTAGTTTATGATATTTAGAGGTTACATAGAAACCAATGAAAGTACATTGTCATTAAAGGAATGTTCCATTAATATTAAACCAAAAAACATTTTAAAGTACAATGGTATAACCATAAGATTTAAATGGTAACAAATGAAAAAAAGTAGGATTCATCAATATGATGAAAAAAATTATTAAGTAAACAGCCGTTAAAGGGAATGTTCCATTCTAAAAAATTACATAATAATGATTTTTACTAGTTAAAGGGAAACCAATGAAAGTAAAATGTTGTAGTATTGACTATTGAGTAGTTATTTTTTACTTTAAGAAGAATACCAACAAAGTTTTCATTTTTTTTTAATACAAATTAGATAAAGTACAAATTAAGCACCCTCAATCACAATATAATTTCACCTGTAAAAGTATCAAAGTATCAAGCTCAAGATAGCTTTAACATTTGAACAATAATAACCACATATGCAATATCGGCCAAAAATTTAAAATATTAAGAAAAAATTTAAAAAAATTTTACAAGCAAATATAATTAAAAGTTTATAAAATAAAATGAAAAACCTTTTGAACAGATTCGTGAAGAAAAATGCGAAGTCAAGAAGGACTGTGAAATGTGATTTGTTCAATATTGGAGTCAAATGCAGTTCACGTGTAAAAGCAAAAATGTTCGCATTTGGTAATACAAATCAAAATTGGGTTTCGCATATGAGGTTGTATGGATTGGGGTTAAAGATGCGAAGGTGATTATGGTTAATATTCATTTCGTATTTGGTGAGACAAACAACTCAAATGCGAATGAACTAAAAAAAAAATGACTGGAACATGCGAAGAAAGAGGGTGAATGAAGAATGTGAATTTTACAGTAGAATGCGAATTGGGGAAGAAAGCTAAGAATTTCGAATTTTTATTATACAAATTGATTGATTTATTTATCTGTCTTAATTGTTAACTGCGATATATCAAATACTTATCAAGTTAGGGGCAATATGGTCTTTACATATATAGCAATATTTTTATTATACAAATTGATTGATTGATTGATTTGTCTTAATTGTTAATTGCGATATATCAAGCAGATGAAGTAAGATCGATTGTTTTGAAATGCGATGTCAAATCTGTTGAAGGGTGTAATGATTATTGTTTTCGAATGGTATGTGTTCGATTGGTTATTGGGTTTGTATACAGGGATCGATTTTAAACGGAGGTTAAAGATTGTGGGAACGAATAACTGTTAAATTCGATGTTTTCTGGAACGAAGCCTTGGTTATTAAATGAATCATACGAAGGATCTGTTATTTGATTTTGGAATTGGGGCGAATAATCGAACGATTTGGAGTTGCGAATTTGATTTTGAAAAGCCAATCAGTTGGGTTCGCATATGAAAACAGATAAGTTTTGATTTTGGATTCGCAATTGGGTTAATTGGGTTATTGATTGAGGGACGATTCGTGAAGAAAAATGCGAAGTCAAGAAGGACTGTGAAATGTGATTTGTTCAATATTGGAGTCAAATGCAGTTCACGTGTAAAAGCAAAAATGTTCGCATTTGGTAATACAAATCAAAATTGGGTTTCGCATATGAGGTTGTATGGATTGGGGTTAAAGATGCGAAGGTGATTATGGTTAATATTAATTTCGCATTTGGTGAGACAAACAACTCAAATGCGAATGAACTAAAAAAAAATGACTGGAACATGCGAAGAAAGAGGGTGAATGAAGAATGCGAATTTTACAGTAGAATGCGAATTGGGGAAGAAAGCTAAGAATTTCGCATTTTTATTATACAAATTGATTGATTGATTGATTTGTCTTAATTGTTAATTGCGATATATGAAATACTTATCAAGTTAGGGGCAATATATTTTATTTGAGTTATAACCAAAATCAACTAACTTGTCCAATTTAAAACAATAAAAGTATCCAAAAATATTCAAAACCAATAATATTTGACATCCTAAATACCCCAAAATAAAAATCATACCAAGCAATTAAAATATCTTTATAACCAAAACAAATGATCAAAATATATTAAATGTGTCTTATAACCGATAGAAACTCACTTTTCAATTTTTGGAATCAAGAGTGGAGTTTCCTCTGCGGTTGACTTTCTTTTAGCCTTAGTTGAACTTAAATCATATCCAGAATCAACATCATAAATTTCTTGGAGGTTGCGCTTCAAATCACCTGATATTTTGCAAGGACTTGTTGCGGTTGACTTATCAACTGTTGAGGGTGTAAAACTTTCGTCTGTTTGTGAGATCACATCCTAATTTAAAAAAAAAATGTTTGATTCCTAAAAAAAATAACTAATATAATTAAAAGTTTATAAAATAAAATGAAAAACCTTTTGAACAGGCTGTACAACATCATCGGATTCCAAAGCAACTTGATTTAAGGAGACAGATTGAATACTCTAAAAAATAAAATGGAAATATGTTAATCGTTATGTACTTTAACATTAAAGAATTGTAAATTTTCAACAATAAAAAATTACATACCATAAGTTCTATTTTACTTTCCAATTCACAAACAATGGACATATCTTCTGTAACTCTGAGAACTGTGTAGATGTTATTATAGTTGTTGACATTGTATTCTGTAATATCTACAACAAAACCAAACTTGCGGTTTTTCAACACGTTAAGTTGCATTGGAAATAGGGCATCACTGTCTCCGGCCTGTAAGATATATTTTAATAAATTAAAAAAATTAAGTAAATGTTTTCTGATTTTAAAGGTATGAATAATATACCGCATCATGTATCTTTTTCAACTCGTAGGCACTTATATTTAACAACCTCCTTGCTTCCCTATCAAAAAGAGTCAATCCAATGGTTCCAGTACAATCTTGTACGTTAATTGGAATTATATACTAAAACAAAAAATAATTATGTCATTGTTAGTGTTGTTTTAAGATTGACAAAATTAATAAAATAAATATGTCTATACTTTATAACTGACTGAAATTCAGATTTTTTGCATTGTGCATTTGTACACTCGACAACCATAGTTTCTGAAATTCCCTCAGGGTTGGTATACGAATGATTGGTTTTGGGAACAGGGATAATTTTTTTTCCACATTTTTTGCATGCTTCATAATACCATGGTAGATTCTGCCTTATATTAACAATGGAAGCAACTAATAAAAACTTCATTTCCTGTATCATATCAAATGTAAAAATTATTAAAATAAATTATGCAAAAAAAAAAATGTAAAACATATAAAATAATGCAATATACCTTAATTGGTTCGGTGATCTCACAGATTGTTTTTAATGGAAAATTGCCCTTAAAGTCATCTGTATATGAAGAAGAGTAGCTTTGAAGTGTAGTTATGCTTTTTTCAGTTATACCGAAATTGTCATGACATTTCAACCTGTAATGTTTAATTTAGATTCATGAATATTAGGTTTTGTGTTTTTTTAAAGTTAAAATACATTATAAAAAATAAAAAACAATTGGAAACTAACTTATTTTTAAACTCATTTATTTCATAAATGTCAGAATTTATGAACAATTTCGTTACTTCAAAATGACTTTTAGCTTCACCAAGACCTGTAAAAAATGTATATCCAATTATTAAAATTTATATAAAAACAGTAATTATAAACATCTATATATAAAGACTGAATACAAACCATTCCAAATGTTTAGCTTCAAAAACTGCATCACGATAACAACAAAATTAACAGTCGGGTTATTTTTTAGGTATTCTGAAATTTGATATGCTTGACTTCCAAAAATAGTAACCTTCAGATGTACAGAACTAAATAAACCATAAAATAGTATATTAATATTAATTTGTGATTAATTAAAGATAATAAATAATAAATAAATAATACAATATAATCTCACTCTAGGTTGCTAAGAGTGACTTTTATATAATGCTTGGATGGTACTGGATTTGAAGTTTCAAGAGGCCTAAATGACACGATATGTCCAATAACATCTACACAACAGATACCACAAAAAAATAAAAGTTTAGGATTAAATTCGTAATATTTAAATAATAAAATGTATAACCAAAAAAACAAATGATAAAAAATGATTTTATTAATATTTTATGACTAACCAAAGAATGTGTCTTTTGGGCATGTTTGTTCTATGATAGAATTAAAGTCAACAAACATAAATCCATTGACCGGACCCGAGAAATCATCACATTTTTTTAGGATGCTTTTCCAATCCAAAGTTAAGGTCTGTTTATGACCTGTATAACTAAAACCATTAGTAACAGCAGCCATATTGGGTTTTATAACTATATAACTTTCATCTTCCTTTAAAAGATGACGAAATCTGGAGAAATTCTGATTGAAGACACGAGCTTGGTATTGTGTACCCTGTTTAAAAAAAATTAAAAATTATTATGTTCATGAAACATGTCTAATATTGAATGATGAATAAAAAATATATCAAATACAACAAACCTCCTCATCCATGATGATCATTTCAATGGAACAAACTTTATTATTTCTGACAAAGTTCCAAATTTTAAGCACCCGAACCTTGATATGCGATTTTTCATCTATCTGGTCAATGTTATTTAGGTAAACCTTATTTCCTATTTCCATTTTCTGCAATAAATTTAATCATTATAGAATTGTAAGGAAAATTAGCAACCTTTTAAAATGTACAGAACATCCTAACCAATAAGTAAAACAGAAAAATTATAAATCAACACATGACAATAACAACTGACTTAATGTACTCATAAATTTTTAAATTGAATAATTCATTTTATAATAAAATGGAATACAAACAAAAACAAATAATTCATATGAAATAATGTTTTAGATTGAATAAAAGTTTATATAATAAGATGGAACACAAATATATAATAAACATGAAAACGACAATTATACCGAAAATGCCCCTGCAACATACTAACACTAACAGATAACATAACAATGAGTAAAACAGAAAAATTAAAAATCAACACATGACAATAACAACTGACTTAATGTACTCATAAATTTTAAAATTCTAAATTTTTTTGAGATTGTATTTAGATAAAAACAAACAAATTTTAAAATTTCATACCATAAAAAAAAGTTACTGTGCACATCTGAAAAAGACTATTTTTAATTTTTTTTAAAGAAAATGAACTTGTAATGTTCATTAGTTTTTCGTCTTTTAAACTGAAAAGGTAGAAGAAGTAGACGATTAAGAAGAATTACAAAAAAGAAGAAGAATAGAAATCATACAATGAGAACGTGATAGATACAGATAAATAAGAACATGGAGGAAATAGAAATATTGGTAATTCTGATTTTTGAATACACTAACCTGATATTTAATTCTTGAAGCGTTGCAGAATAACAAAGAATGAAGAAGAATACGTTTGCTGTGGTTTCTATGGAGCAGAATTGTTATGGAGCAGAATGGTAAAAACAAAATAACCGTATAAATGATATTTACGTTTGCTGAAAAATACTGCAGATTTTTAGGGATTTAATGATTGCAATATATTGAATTTGCAATCAAAATAAACAAACTTTCAAATTTAATCGTGATTTTCGAATCTGATTATTCATTAACATATTTTTTCAAATTATTTCCATAATCTTTATTCATTTAAAATTAATGCATGAATATTTTGAATGCAGTTGACAGCTAAAATTTCCTGATATATTGCATCAGTTTGAACTTTTATTCAATTTTCGGATTCAATGGCATTTACGTAAATATAGAAGAAAAAATGAGCGGGAAAACTCTATTTTGGGGCAGGGAGAATGCCACGTGGCCGAGTTCTACTTATTTATTAGAATTAGGATATATATATATATATATATATATATATATATATATATATATATATATATATATGATGAAAATATACCTTCCGGCTGATATATATCTATCTGCATAATCTGTTTCGAAAGGAAGATCCTCAGCATCTCCCTCAATTATCTTGCGTTCCTTCAATGGCTCCTTTTCCTTTGTTTTAGCAAGCTGATGTGGCGATTGATCCAAAATGGTAATATTTTTAGCATGAACATGTTTCACAATATCCAACGTTGAGAACCCAGTCCCACCACCAACATCCACTACTATCATATCATACAAAAACCAAATATTATAATATGATCGTACAAAATTGACATAAACCTATAGAACCAAAATGCCTCTTTTTTGTGTTGCATGAACCTACGCTGTGAAGCTGGCCTTGGTACAGACATACTGCACTTAGGTACAAATAGGGTCTTACCTATTCGTCTAAAATTCGAATTCTCAATGCCCAAATTAATTTTGGGGAAAGATTTTCCCCCATGCAAATCCGACCCATTAAACCCTAACCCGTTTGGTGACACTCTTCCTCTTATAATTGCAAGATTTTCAACTCCATACAGCATTGAAGAAGCCATTATTGCTCAAGAAACGAAAAAACGGATACAGAAAACTTGTAATTTTAAAGCTCAAACTCACAAATTTCAAGACTAACCAAAAACTTGTAAATGAGAGAGTTCACATTCACAAATTTGATGAATTTCAAAAATAACCCAAGTGGTAAGGTTTCGATTCAAATTTGCTAGATGCAGAATGGAGATATTAGTATTGGTGACAATTTGAAGAAATTCAAGAAATGGAACTTAATAGGTGAGTTAAATCACGGTTGTTGATTGATGATGATGATCGGAAATAATTGATACATGACAAAACAGAAAATAGTAGAAGTAGCAGGTGTTGGAGACGAACACGTGTACACATCCACGGAGCTGGTGATAAGCACATATCTATTAGCTAGATTACAGAAAAGATGTGGAGGCGACTGAAATTTACTAGAAAAAAATCGTATATAGATATATAAATGTTTTTCTCACTGTTTCCAAATAAATACAACGACGTTATTCAGTCTGGTTTAATCGACTTTTAACGATTTTAAATTAACCACAACCAAATTGAATAAGTTTCGGTTTAATTGGCTTTTGGTTATTTTATGTCAATGTTTAATTCATTCACAAATTAGGAAGCCTAACAAACGACACGTCTTGAATCTTGAAGTTTAAACTGAAAATAAAAACCAGGCATGGAATTATATCATATCATAGCATACAAAACCAAAATGGGAAAATGCAACTCAACCTAAACCAAACCAAACCAAACCAAACCATCTCTGAGGACTCAAATTGGTTGACCTTTGGGGACAATTTGATCCTTGAGCCACATGTAAACAGGGACCAGAACATAGTAGATTCCAGCCATCGCACCCACAAGAAACCGGGCTAGGAACACCAACGGGTTCACTGGCTCCCTCACGTCCTCCACTTTTGGACCCAACTGCCACATATAACCCAACAAAAAAGTTAAATTCTAGAAATACCAATGTACTCATGTTTGATTTGTTTATCATTATTTACATCATTCTACTTTCAATTCTTCTTATTACAACATTCTTATTACCAATTTATGCAACCTATCTTTTGGTCCTAAAATGAAATGTTGTTAAAAAAAATTCAACCCTTTTTACCTGTAATGGTGAATCTCCTGATGCGGGTTTAACTCCGGTAACAGAGCAGCCCATGATAAGACCATGGCGGCGGACCCCACGGTACCACTTTGGGCCAATCCTCTTGATTTTAACATCTTTGAATCCGGCCTTTTCAAACCACTCGATGTATTCTTCCTCCTTTGGAAACAGCATCCACATGTCTGCAAAGAAACGAGACAACCAATAGGTTGGATACACAGGCCCAATTAAACATGCCTTTCCTCCTATCTTTAGAACCCTGTATGCTTCTTTGATGCCTCGTTGTGGGTCCGGCCAGTACTCAATGCTGTAATCAAATAACAACACAGTCATATATGGAATTGATCGATACGTGTTTAAATAATCTAAATACCTTTACGGCAGATAAATATATTCAAACACTAGATACTAATTATTGTAACTTCATACTCGCTTATAAAAGTAATAAATGATACATCAAAAAAAATCACAACAACGTGAAATTTTGAGATGATATATACCTTCCAGCAGATATGTATCTATCGGCATAGTCTGTTTTGAAGGGAAGATCCTCAGCATCTCCCTCGATGATCTTGCATTCCTTCAATGGCTCCTTTTGTTTTGCTTTTGCAAGCTGATGTGGCGATTGATCCAAAATGGTAACATTCTTAGCATTAACATGTTTCACAATACCCAAAGTTGTGAAGCCGGTCCCACCACCAACATCCACTACTATCATATCACGGCTATACAAGTCAGCCGGTTCTAAAGCTTCATCTCTCATGTCTTCAGTCCAATGACCCGGGTTTATCACATGATCATACACGATTGAAAGAAACCTATAAAACCAAAATGCCTCTTTTTTGTGTTGGATGAACCGAGGCTGTGAAGCTGGCCTTGGTACAGACACACTGCACTTGGGTACAATTAGGCTCTTACTTATACCTCTCAGATTCGAATTCCCGCTGGCCAAATTAATTTTCAGGAAAGACTTTTTCCCATGCAAATCTGACCCGTTAAACCCTAACCCGTTTGGGTATGCTCTTCCTCTTATAATTGCGAGATTCTCAGCTCCATACAGCATTGAAGAAGCCATTATTGCTCAACAGAAAAAAAACGGATACAGAAAACTTGTGATTTTAAAGCTCAACCTCACCAATCTCAAGATTTCATCATAGCCCTAGATGCAAAAACTTGTAAATGTGAGTTCATATCAACAAATTTGACGAATTTAACAATAACCCAGGTGGAAAAAAGTACTGATTTCGAGTTTATAGTAACAAGACTCAATATTTACACAATACCCAAGTGGGAAATTGATTAAAACCCTGATCTGGTAAGGGCTCGATTCAAATTTGTTACATGCAGAATGGGGATATTAGGGTTCGTGACAATTTGAAGAAGCTCAAGAAATGGGGCTTACCGGTTGAGTTAAATTGATAATGAATGATCGGAACCAGTTGATGAATGACAAACAGAAACACAAAACTTGTGGTAAGGAGAGTGAAGTAGTGGAGCAGTAGGTGTTGGAGAAGAACAAGAGTACACAGCCGCAGAACTGTTGATAAGTAAATATTGTTAAAGCTAAGGCTGGTTGCTAGATTACATAAATCATGTGGTCTTGAAATTTTCGCAAATCTGCCAAATATCGTATATAAATGTCATTCTTTTTTCTCTATTTAAAACAACTTAACAAGTGATAATGACTTAAAAAATGTAATATATTTTTTAGTTTGTACCTATTTAATCACTATCACTTTTTTTTTTATATATATTTTCTTATTAAACTTGCTGTAGTGTTCAAATTATATCTTTATGACATGTTATAGCAAGTTTAGCCGGTTTTCGACATATTTGGCAGATCCGATGATACGTCGGTCATTTTCTCCGACGAAACTCCGGCCAACATGAGTTTTCCAGCGCTTTCAAACACATCTTGAATTCCTTAATCGGATTTACAAATGTTGCTCTTTAAGACACCTCTATTTTCCTCAATCTTGAAAATTATGAAATCCCAAAAAAAAAAAATGGAGCCTAAAGAAGATGCATCAAACAAAAAACCTACTAATTAATGGTTTCTTTCAAATTTGCAGATCTGATTAAGGATTCAGATTTGCAGATCTTATGAAGATTTGTGTGTGAGTGTATGGGTGTTCGATTTGAAAACTTAAGAACTCAAACCTATAAATCAATTATTCATCTTCATCTTCTTCTGTTCAAACTCAAAAACACATATCATTATTTTTCTCTTTAAAAATAATTTTTGAGTGTCTTCAAGCTTAAGCATGATATGAAGACAAACGAATTTCATGTTGTTCATTAACTTCGAACACAACTATTGATTTATGGGTTTGTCTTCATGTTCGTTATCGAAGTGTTGTTCCAGAGATGTTTTTCATCATGTTCATCTTCTTTATTCTTAGAAGTCAACAAAGTACAAACAACAAAACACAATGTATAATTTTGTCGATGCATTATCCCTTTGAACCAGCTCACATAAAATCGATTTCTTCTATGTGCTTGGAAATTGTTTCTGGGAAGAAGAAGAACATGATCGAACATCAAATTTGGGAAGGAGATGAAGACGATGGAGATCTACAAACCTTGAAGATCATTGTGTGTTTGTGTGTGTTCATCTGAATACTTCTTTTGTTCAAACTCAAGCCATATATCATTATTTTTCTCTCTAAAAATGATATTTGAGTGTAAGGTGTTTAATCTTCAAGCTGAAGCACGATATGAAGACGACCAAAGTTCATGTTCTTCATCAACTTCGATTTTCCAATTCTGTTCAAGAACACAGCTTTGATTTATGGGTTTGCCTTCGTGTTCTTCTTCAGATTTTTCGATTTTTGTTCTTAAGTTCATGTTTGTTGTAGATTTCTGGTTTAGAGATGAAGTATTGTGTGTGTTGTTGATCAAAAAATAAAAAATTAAATTATTTTAGATTTATGGTCGGATACCGGCTTATTCTTTGATAGCAAATCATAAGGATGTATTTTAAATAGTTCAATGAGAGAATATGGACAAAAAAAAAAAAACTCAATAACTAAATATGTGCAAATTAAAAAATATATTACCCTTTTAAGTCATTATCCCTTAAAATAACTATATGTTCTATGGGGTGTTATGTGCTCGATTTATTTGGTTTTGGATCATTTGGTCTAATTTGATCGAAATTTTAAATATTTTTAAATCAATCATAATAGGTGATGTGACTTAATATGTAACACCCAAAGTTTTGAAGGCCAAGAAAAGAAAGAAAACCCTAATTTTAAGGGCGACTCGGCAAGTCCAAGGATGAACTCGGCAAGTCCGAGCGGGACGGGTCGAGGAGTAAGTGACCGACTCGACGAGTCGGGAAAGGGGACTCGGCGAGTTTGGTCTGTGCGAGGAAAACCCTAAAATCGGGACTTGGAGCCTATTTAAACGCCTCATTCTCTCCCCTAAGGTTCCTTTACTGCCTCTTTCACCCAGAACATCAAACCCTAGCCGTCATATCCATTGATTGAGCCATTTGTTGCCTTGGAAGGTGCATTAAAGCTTGGAGAAGGAAGAAGGAACTTGGAGGAGCAAGAAAGGACTATAGATCTGGGATTGTGAGTTCATTCTGAGCATTTAGAGGTAATAAACTAGTTCTTGGACCCTTTTTGCACCTAGATCTATGTGTGGTTGTTGGGGCTTTTTAGCCATAATGTTATTCTTTCAAGTTAGAAGCCAGATCTGAAGTTGCTACTTCAGATCTAAGCATATTATGGTATTGAGAAGCATAAAGTAGCAGCCCTTGAGTTGATTATGGAGCCTCTTTGCCTTAAACCCTAGTTTATGGTGTATTTTGCCTAGATCTCCTTCTCTACACGTAAAGTTTGCAAATTTACGTGAGGAATAGGCTTGGGAAGGGTAGATCTACAGTTTGGAGTCCATGCATGACTCAAAAGTCCTCTGCATGTAAGGAGATCTGAATGGACTCGGTGAGTCCTTTGAAGTGGACTCGGCGAGTAGCATGAAGGTGAGGAGCAACTCAACGAGTGGGATGAATAGCTCGTCGAGTCAGATGAAGATTGCCTTATACTTGGCGAGTTAGGTTGCGAAACCCCAAACCCTTTGAGTTGAGACTCGAATCAGTGAGTCGGGTGGAGACTCGGTGAGTTGGACAGGTCAGGACTCAAAAATCGGTAGACTCGGCAAGTCGAGACGCGAAAGGAAGGATTATGAGTATATGAACTCGGCGAGTCAGTAGGGTGACTCGGCGAGTAGGGTTGACCTGGAAGGTTGACCTTGACCAGGACTTTGACTTGGACCAGGGTTGACTTGGTTGTCTTTCGGGGGTCAGTTAGACTCAGTGTTGCATTGATATTGGTAGTTCGGGGAGCAAGGGGAGCAGGAGTTCAGTGAGTTGTCGGGCAGCAACTAGTGAGATCATCAGCAAGTTCAGCCAGTGCAGGTGAGTTTCCCTCTGTGTGAATGGGTCTAAGGCCACAATGCCGGCCCATGTAGTTATGAGTAGAAGACCCGGGGGTTAGCCCTAGGCACAGTATGCTAGTATGATATTCAGGACGAGGTCCATTAATAGCGGGCGGGTGCCCAAGGATTTGTTTATATGATAGTTTATACCTGTTGTCTGTGTGATACATGTATATACCTGGTAGGGAGGTGAGTGTGCGCAAGGTCTCGTATCTCACCAATAGTAGAGTGTGGATGGGGTTCCATATCTCATTAGTAGCAGAACAGGGGCGAGGCCCAAGTTAGGGAACGAGTGAGAGTGGGTTGGGCCCGTATCTCACTACCAGTAGGAGCTTGGACGGGATTCCATGACTCATCAGTAGCAGGACATGGGCGAGGCCCAAGATAGGCGAGGCCTTAGGACAGAACCAGTTGTATGTGTTTAGTTATGTGATATGTTTATGTGTTATTATTTGTTGGCGAGCGAGGCCCTGTGATCCCCGATACCATCAAAATCAGGAGGTTTAGTGTTATTGATCTCTCGGTAGGGAATTTCCTTGTCTCCAGTCGGTGTTGCGGCAGAAACAACAATGGTGGCTACATCAACCACATTAATATCAACGTCAACATACTGCTGATACTATCGCCTCTATCCAATCGCGTATATCAATCTCGTTCGGACCTGACTCATCTGATCCAGAACCAGAACCACTTGCTCCATTGATCATCATCATGCTGAAGATAGAGATGAGAATAGTTTAATACAAATTTTTAAACCCTCTTTAGTTCCTTAGTAACGTTGTGACTTTTCTTGAGTCTCATATGGATCATGTGCTTCGCGTAGTACGGACCATACTACATTTTACACCTATCCATACTAGATCCAATAATTACCCCAATGTTTCTAGTTCACTGCGCTCTGCTACCGTTAGGCCTTTACGCACACCTAGTGTTACAATGACATAATTACTCACATTCCTAAATTTTATTCTAGGATTCATGCTACTACACTCTGTTATTAGCCGGGAGAGAACTACAAATATTAACTAATTATGTGACGAATATGATTGCATGCCACTAAAATCAAACACTCTATCGACCGAAAGATCCAACACTATGAAAGTTATGCAATAACGTCAAATCAAACAATATAAAATTATTTAATTATGAAAATATGCAACCTGACGGACTTGCCAATTAACAAGGTTATAACACATCTCTATATCTTGTAATTCCGGAAAAAGTTCATTGTGACAATAAAAAGAGCTAATAAGTAAATTTAAATTATCCTAAAAGTAATAAATATATTTTTTTAATATTAAAAATTAATCCTTACAAATTTAAATTATAACGGTTCTAAAAAGCACTTAATTTTTTAAGTATATTCCCATAAAAATCACAATATATTTTATAATCTTTAATATTGATAAAATAGTCCGTCATTAATAATTAATAACCAGGAAAAGGAGAAATGCTATTTTGGTATTGAAACGAAGACGGAGAATTTGGTAGTTCTTCCGAAATCCAAATCACCGTCCAAGTATCAGAGAACACTTGCAGTCGACGTACTCATCTCCATCGCCGATCTCCGTCGCTCTTCTGCTAGATCTCTGCGATCAGGTAATTTCTTTTGCGTAACTCTCGGCGACACTACCGATGTGTTCTTGATTTCGTTCCTGCTCAATTCTTAACGAGATTCAACATTTGCTCGGATTCTTGTTGCCTAATTGACGGATACTTGGCTTAATTGCACTAAAATTGAATTTACCGGTGAAGATCAGGTTTAGGTTTATGGATTCACCACTACTAAATTGAGAAATTCGATTATGTTGTGCGTAATCTATCTTCATTCATATTTGCAAGCCTTGAATTAACACTGGTTCTGTTATTTTAAACTGTCTGTTTGGATGTCAAGTTCAATGACAGGTGTAGTGTATCAGTAAGCTAACTAAAACATAAGAAAATTGATTTTAGTTGGAATTGAAACTTGTTTAGTTCAGAAAGTGAACTTATTTGCTTCTATTATTTGTAAGTCATGGGAAATATGATCCCAGGTTTAGGTACATGGTGAACCGACTACTATTTCATGACAATTCTCATACCCCAGTATCACTGATTCACTGTAGCAAAGCTTTGTACATATTGCTATTGGCTTTATCCACAATGATGTGCTTCAGTTCCATGTTCTTGCAGATCACTTACAGAAGCCAAACAATAACCTATGGGGACTGAAAATCCCAACCATGCTAATAACTATCCAAGGCCAGCTGCTACACCTTTTGCCCCTCCTCAAAGCAACACACCTTTTTCATCATCTCGTCCAGTAGCTAGCTCTGCTTTCAGGCCAATGTCTCCCCCAAGTACAGCTCCATCTTTTCCTTCTGGGCCTGTGGTTGGACCAGAAGCTCCTGGTTTTAGACCCATGCAAACTGCTAGACCTACTCCTCCATATGGCCCACCAACCACCGGACCTTTCCAGCGGTTCCCAACTCCACCATTCCAGGCACCTCCACCACGTACTTCACCTGTTGGACAACCAATATTGCCTCCAACAACAATCAGACCTCCAAGTTTCCAAAATCATCAACCCCAAATGCCACCACCAATGCCTATGGGTTCTCCACCTCAAACCATGAATGGTATGCTTTCCAATTCAAATATGCAGCAACCCCAACCTTCAATGGGGCCAGCTCATCCTGCTGCTGTCCGTGCCACCTCATCATCTCCTTGGCCTGGCTATCCGGGTATGCAGAGTAACACAGCAACCCCAACAGCACCAGGAGGCTACGCTCCACCTCAGCCCACCACATCCACCCCCTTTCAAGGTGGTTATGGACCAACTCCACCAGGAGGTTATGCTCCACCTCAGCCCACCACATCTGCCCCCTTTCAAGGTGGTTATGGACCAACCCCACCCCCACCAGGAGGCTATGCTCCACCTCAGCCCACCACATCTGCTCCCTTTCAAGGTGGTTATGGATCAACCCCACCGGTTGCATCTCCTCTAGGAATGTATGTAGGAGGGTCCACACCTCCAACAGGAGGTATGCAAGGATTGGTAGAAGACTTCAGCTCACTTTCTATTGGGTCTGTCCCAGGATCTTTTGATGCTGGGCTTGATACTAAAGTTTTGCCAAGACCATTGGATGGTGATGTGGAGCCAAGTTCTTTTGCTGAAATGTATCCAATGAACTGCAATTCTAGATATCTGAGGCTTACAACTAGTGCCATACCAAATTCTCAGTCTCTTGTTTCCAGGTGGCACTTGCCTCTTGGAGCAGTTGTTTGTCCACTGGCAGAAGCTCCTGAAGGGGTGAGCATCCATACAGTCAGAGCAATTACAATAAAAATATAATCTTTATTTATTTATTTATTTTCTCAGGAGGAAGTGCCAATTGTTAATTTTGCCACAACAGGCATTGTGCGTTGTAGAAGATGTCGTACATATGTGAACCCGTATGTGACTTTTACTGATGGTGGAAGAAAGTGGCGATGCAATATATGTGCTTTGCTCAATGATGGTAATGCTATAAATCCATTCTAACAAAGTAACAATATATCTACTGTTTCCCATAACTGAAAGTGTCAAGATATCGTCACATAGACTAAATGAGTATTGAGTAGGTCCAAACTGACTTTATGAAGAGCCTTTTATTACAAAACCAACAGCCTAAACTACCAACATGGCATCATCAAATCTAACATCATAATAGCGAGACTAACAAGTTCCCTTTTGTTAACTGAGGTTCCTAATATGGTCATGCTAATCAATTTCTATCATAATGTACAGTGCAAAATGACTATTTTGCCCATTTGGATGCCACCGGAAAAAGAGTTGATTTAGATCAACATCCTGAGCTTACAAAGGGTTGTGTGGAATTCGTTGCTCCAGCTGAATACATGGTGCGGCCACCAATGCCACCACTATACTTTTTCTTAATCGATGTGTCAATATATTCCGTTAAAAGTGGAATGCTTGAGGTAATGCCTGTTATAATCTTGATGTGTTTATAACTACATATATGTATATTTTTTATATCTTATGTAAATTATCATGTATATTTTTTTAGGTGATTGCACAAACCATCAAGTCATGTTTGGATAAGTTGCCAGGCAGCACCAGAACACAGATTGGGTTCATAACTTTTGACAGCACAATTCATTTTTACAATATGAAGGCAAGTAATTTACAGATCAAATACATGTTACCCTTTCTCTAACATTTTGCTAACTGATGTTGATTTTTTTTTTTTTTTTTTTTTTTTGGATTGCCAGTCATCTCTGACACAACCTCAAATGATGGTTGTCTCTGATTTGGATGATATATTTATTCCGTTGCCAGATGATCTCCTAGTGAACTTATCAGAATCCAGAACTGTGGTGGATGCATTCTTGGATAGCTTGCCATCCATGTTTCAGGACAATGTGAATGTGGAATCTGCTTTTGGGCCTGCACTTAAAGCAGCTTTCATGGTTATGGTTAGTTTCCTGAGTTGTACACCACTTACAAACTTGTAGTTTGTATTGACCATGATAGAGTTTTTTTTTTTTTTTTTTTTTTTGTTTGATGCAGAGTCAACTGGGAGGGAAATTGTTAATTTTTCAAAGTAGTCTTCCATCACTTGGTGTGGGTAGGTTAAGGTTGCGAGGAGATGATATTCGGGCATATGGGACAGATAGGGAACATGCTTTGAGAATACCAGAAGATCCCTTTTATAAACAAATGGCTGCTGATTTTACCAAGTATCAAGTTGCAGTCAATGTTTATGCCTTTAGTGACAAGTACACTGATATAGCTTCCTTAGGTATCTATTGATATTAACATACCTTTTGTTTTTGTTTTTAGTTGATAAGGAAAAATATTAATTTTTATTGTTTTGTTTTTAGGTACTTTGGCGAAATACACAGGTGGTCAAGTCTATTACTATCCAAGCTTTCATTCTGCCATCCATAAAGACAAATTGAGACATGAGTTGGCTAGAGACCTCACTAGAGAAACTGCTTGGGAAGCTGTAATGCGCATCAGATGTGGGAAAGGTTAGTCTCAAGTTTTTTTTTGGTTTCTAACTGAATTGGAATTTGAGATTCCATTCCGTAGCATGTTTGGCTGCCAAATGGATGGAATTGAACTCCATGTTTGATTGATTTCACCCTTCCTAGGGTTGGGTGGAAGGAATTCAATCTCATTGGTTTTATAAAATTTTGATGTTGCAGGTGATTACTTTTAGGTAGAAATTAATTTATTTTTCTTAAATTGTGTTATATATAGGAGTTCGTTTCACTTCATATCATGGGAACTTTATGTTAAGATCCACAGATCTATTAGCACTTCCTGCTGTTGACTGCGACAAAGCTTATGCAATGCAGTTTGCTCTTGAAGAGACATTACTCACAACTCAGATTGTCTATTTCCAAGTTGCTCTATTGTATCCTTCACTTCTTCCAAGCTTCCACATCTTTTGGAATATAAATATAAAACATAAAATATAATCAACAGACAACAATGTAGTTATTTACAAATACTTAACATGAATTGAAAAGACACACCTCATCTTCGGGTGAAAGACGTATCAGAGTACACACTGCTGCTGCATCAGTGGTTGCTGATTTAGGAGAGATGTATCGCCAGGCAGATACCGGTGCAATTGTTTCTTTGCTTGGTAGATTAGGTAACCAGATTTTTCCTTTTTTTAAAAAAAGAAAAAGAAAAAAAAAATATGTTATATGATATTTATTTTAATTATGTGTTGTAGCGATTGAAAAATCTTTGTCGTACAAACTGGAGGAGGCGCGTAACGCGATCCAACTAAGAATCGTGAAAGCGCTTAAAGAATACCGTAATCTGTATGCGGTTCAACACCGTGTGGGAACACGCATGATCTACCCAGAGTCATTAAAATATTTACCTTTATACGGATTGGCTTTATGTAAATCAACAGCACTTCGTGGTGGCTATGCGGATTCACAGCTTGATGAAAGGTGTGCAGCTGGTTTCACCATGATGGCTTTGCCTGTTAAAAAGATGTTAAAGCTTTTGTATCCCAGTTTATTACGTGTAGACGACTATCTCGTCAAGGTAAACCTCTTTTCTTCCTTTTTTTTTTTTTATACTTCACTCTTGCTATCAACAGTGTATAGTTATATTTTAAAATAAAGTTGGATCCTGTTATTTGTATATACATATATATTGATTTTGGGAGTTATGTTATGCTATATATGCAGCCGAGTGGACATGGTGATGAGTTTGAGAAAGTTTGTAGAAGGCTGCCACTTGCTGCAGAGAGCTTGGATTCTCGAGGGATTTATATATATGATGATGGTTTTCGTTTGGTTGTGTGGTTTGGGCAAATGCTGTCCCCTGATATTTCCAGGAATCTGGTTGGGGAAGATTTTGCTACGGATTTCTCAAAGGTATGAATGATGATGTTTTTTTTTTTTTTTATGCGGGTGTTATATTTATAGTCAAGTGAAGAGACTAGGGATGTGCTGTTGTTGTCTGATACTGAAATTGAATGATGCCCATCACCCACTCCCACAGATGTTGTATTTAAAGAATAATAAAGAGTAATAGTATGTATGTATGGATAAAAATTTCAGGTAAGCCTTGGTGAACGTGATAATGAGATGTCAAGAAAGCTGATGGGGATACTAAAGAAACTCAGAGGTGCGGATGCATCATATTATCCTTTATGTCATCTTGTGAGACAAGGGGAACAGCCTCGTGAAGCTTTCTTTTTGCTTTCAAATCTTGTTGAGGATGCGGTTGGTGGTATGAACGGCTATGTAGACTGGATACTTCAGATACACCGATCAGTCCAGCAATAATCCAATCAGGTAACAACAAATTCCATTCCCAATTAATTCTTATCATCCTATGCCAACATTTTACTTTATGCCATACATATTACATTAATATATACAAACCAACTTTCACTGCTATAGTTATATTTTATTTTGGTAGATTTTTCAAACTAATCGATTCTAAATCAAAGTAGGATGCTATTCTAAGTGAATACTCCTTTTGCTCAAATCTCTTCCATTTTAGTAATTGGAACACAAAACTTCCCAAACCCTTTTATTAAAAAAAAGGTCAAACTCAACCAAAATGCATACAAACTCATAAAGCATTTTTTAAAATAAGTAAATAAGTTATTGTTGTTATATAACAAGACATGTTCATGTTTTTAAATTTTAACAAACAGGAAAAAAGTTTGCAATTGGTTTTACTACTTAACTAAGGGCAGAAGCAGATTTTGAGGTAAATTGGGTGGGGGAAGAGATGTAATATCCCTACAACCTTTTTGGCTTGGTTGATTGTTAGAAGAAGAAGAAGAAGTTGGTTCCATAGAAGAGAAGAGAGAATGGTTATGTCAAAGCTTTCATAGACTAGTGCTATATTTTTCCAAAAACCCATCTATAGTTTTAATTTGTTGTTTTTTTTGGATGAAATTTACCTCTTGATAGATTTTTTTTTTTTGATTTGTTTTAGAAAAGTTTTAAGGTGGTGTGGTGTGTGTATACATAATAGACATGTTTGTATATTTGGGTTGAATACTCGTATTTTTATTCCTAAGCAGTGGAACCGAATTCCTTAGTTGACCCACCCGTGGGCATGGCATCAACCTCACCATACTTACTTTTTTTTTCGTAGAAAAAAAAAATACTAATATTATTTCTCTGTTGTTTAGTTGCCGTTAATTCTTTTTTTTTTTTTTTATATATATATAAATCATTCTTGCTCTTGGTTGAGGCGCGATTAGCATTGCTTTTGCTCTGGAATGATCCACTTCAGTTTAGGGCCAACATTTGGACCAAACTGGACTTGTGGACGTCTACGGATTCTGGGGCTGGTTCCGGGTTTGGGTACCAGTTTTCTTTTCTGGTTCTTCTATCCACAGGATCGTTACAATTTTTACTTGCACCCTATCAAAAGTTATGTATTTTTTTATGTTAAAATTTTGTTTATTATGAGGCTTAAAACGAATATGTTTTTTTGTTTGACTTTTCATTTAAAATAAAAATACAATTGTTTTTTAATTATTCATTAAAAAAAAAAAAAAAACTGTGTGATTACTTATCCTAACTTTGGAAAACTCAAAATCATTGAATATGAAACCAAAAATGATAAAGTTATAATCTAAAATCGTGGACAAATTCTAAACTATATATTAAGAAAAAAAAATGTCAATTTAACTTCAAACAAATGAAATGAGATATCCATATTTTAAAGTTTTTATAGAATAAAAAAAAGAAAAAAAACTAATTTTGGTCCAAACCAATTTGCACTAAAAACCGGTTGGACCGAAACGGTATTAAAAAAAATCCGAATTTAGATAATACTAAGAACAAATAACCAGACCTTTTGTAATCAATAGTAGTCCTGGTCCAAATGCTCACTTTGTTTTTTTTTTTCTATGAAATGATACAACTTTAACATCGAATCTCCACAAACCCATATATTTTTTATACATATAATTGGCTTTTTAACAAAATTTATGAGACCTTTAATTGTTCTCCATGATCTTCATTTTCTCATATATATATATATATATATATATATATATATATATATATATATATATATATATATATATATATATATATATATATATATATATATATATATATATATATATATATAGCCAACATGAATTTCCTTAGAAATGGCGTAAAAATCTCATTCTTCAATGATCAGTTGATCACTACATTTAGTCGAATGCGAGAAAGAAATCAAATTTGCCAAGGCTAAGTGGTTAACAATACATTTCTTTGTATTCATCTGTTGAAATGCTTTAAGAGGTCAATACATTAGTCATAAGGAAAGCTCTTTAGGAAGAAAAAAAACGACGTATCAGCTCTTCTTGCTTGTGCACATTTTCATGGTAGGTATAATTGTAAAAAAAGAGGACACAATCACATTCATTATCTCCTCTTGCTGCTCTCGAATAGTCTTTTTCCGATCCATTTCTCCAAATGTAGATGGCAATAGTTATGTGCATAATACATAATATGTGCTATTGAAAAGGCATTGCAAAAAGGAGATCTGTTTGGAAGATAGCTAGAATCTGGTACTTCTAGATTACCGGTCAACTCTTTCTTTTGCTTATGTAAATTCTTTCTATCTTAGGCTTCCGTAGGGGTGTTAATATCTTGTCTCTCTTTCAAGTTCATGCTACTTATAAAAAGAATAAAATAAGGAATTAATTTATCTCTTTTGTGAAGCTCCTGTTCTTTAGCGAATATTTTCTTTTGTTATCTATGTTAACAGTCATAGCATCATGTTTAAGTCAAACTTAACATTTTGTTAGTCTTTAGTTGTATTTTGTTAATGTCTATTTTGTAGGGTTAATATGATAAATTTTGTAAGTATATTTTGGTTCAAGGGTACCTCTTGTTAGATTGGTATTTATGTGGACTGCAAAGCATTATTCTCAAAGTTGTTGTAAAGGATATTTTTCCTAAATGGGTATTGACCCAGTAACTTCAAGTCTCGAGAGCAGATGAGAGATCATTTCGAGTAATTCTTTTCTTGCCTACAATCCATCTGCTCTGTCTTTCTTCCCTCTCTGGTTTTAGGCTTTCACCATTGTTTCAATCTGTTCTTATAATCGTTTTAGATTATGACCGACTGAGAGTAGATTAGGCTTTTGTAGTGAGACTTCTTATTGTAAGTAACTGAAAACCTTCTGGTTTTTTGTCCTTAAACATATCTCATTAATATTAGGAACATCTTTTTCTTCAACTTTTTCACATGGTATCAGAGCGAACGATAGGACTCTAATCTTCAATTGTGTTCATATGACTCAAAAGGTATCTTTCATTTCTTTTTTAGAGCGAGCCGTAGGACTCCAATCTTCTTCTCCAATACTCAATGGTGTTCATATCACTCGAAAGGTATCTTTCATTTCTTTTTTTGTGTTTCTTTCGTTCTAGATCCTTGTAGATCTTTAGATTTGTTTGATCTAGAGTTTAATGTTGAAATTTCTGGATTAGTGCGTAACCTGCAACAATGCTAATACACTTGATGTTTCTAATGTTAGCCTCATCACCCGTTAAAAGATAAAATATAAACCAAAATCAAACTTACTTTTTGATGAAGTCGTCAACTCTAAAAAAAGAAAACAAATAAAAAAAAATATTAGGTTGATTTGTTTGGCTAAAACACATGTAAGAACTAAAACAAATCCATTCAACTCTTGAAACTTTGATTTTGGATTGATAACTCACAATCATACAACTCTAAGAACTAACATAACTTACAAAATCGAACAATGGCAACTGTACATCCCTTGTCAAAACCGGTGCATTACCCTTAATAACATGTGCACCACTCATAGTCATCCGAGTCAATGCATGCATCACATATTTCGTGATATACAACAACCACTACCACTGACATCGGTTTCAACAACATCCGCCCCTTCTATGTACAACAAATCATTCATTCACTTTCACACATCAACCAGTCACCAAACTTCAAAATTACCAATATGCCCCCAACCCAACCCAACCCAACCCCGAGCCACTTCCCGCCAGATCTCTCCCACCCCGACCCTTTCTTGTCCATTCCCGCCAACCCTTTTCATGCTGTCTTATCGAGGATGGACACCATACCCATTTCAGGCTCTCCACCAAAAACACAACTCAAGTCACATCTCGTTTGTTAAATAGTTAATAATATCCGATTCAATCCACATCATATCACATCACCCCCATTTAATAGAATTTCTTAAGGTCTCATCGGGCAAAGTCCAAGAAAACAAATGCCCTTCTGAATCACCACTCAACAACAACTTCAAGTCACTTGAAAGGTGAAGTGCAGTAACCGGGTGGTTATGCCCCTTAAGCACCTTGTGCAGCACCAACGTATATTCAGGCACTTTACCCCCTCTAAGCCCTAACCCACAATGCACTTGAGCAGAAGGATGCTTGTGGGCAGTTCGGGCAGTCTCTGAACAGTTATGAACCATTTGCCATACCTTAATCGCCCCACTTTGATGACCCGATATGTACCAGTTCGTTTCTACCCAATCGGAAAATGTACAAGTCGCCACCGACAGAATCAAATCAGACGGAAGCTGAGACGTGTTCACCACCGCTAGACAGTCTCCGTTCACACTCCAAACCGCCAGCAAAACACCGGCGGCAGTCACGATTTCTCCGGTCAGATCGTTCATGTACAGAGCAGAGATCGGGAAGGGAAATTCCGGAAGCTGCCGGAGAAAAACCAACGAACTCAAATCCCACATGATGACGGTGCAGTCGTCGGAACCGCTGACAATCATCATGTAGGGTTGGGAGACGTAGATCCGTGTGATCTTAGCGGTGTGGGCGCAAAGCGACTGCTGTAGATTTAAACTTCGTGGAGAGCGGGGACCACCGTAGCTTCCAATCCGCCACACGCACACCATCCCGTCGTCGGCGCCGGTGACTAACAGTTGACCGTCGTGGCTGGCACTCGCGCACTGGATCTGATGGCCGCCGTGAAGGTTTTCATGGGTGGATAGCAGTCGGTCTTGATCGTAGCTCATGAATCTTAAGCTCCGATCCGGGAAACCCCAGGCGACGTATTTGGTGTAGGTTCTGGGCTTGATAAAGTTGTTTGGGCCCACTGTTAGAATCTTATCGTTTAGGGTGACGATTTGGGCGATTGGTGACGTCATCTTACGGATCTCGTGTGGGTTGAGACGTGGGGAGAATTTGAGGGGATTAAGGGGGTGTTTTCGATCGGTTTTTCTTTTCACGTGAGGCCTGTGGAAAATCTGCTTCGGTGTTTGACCGAAGTGGTTAATCTGAGCCAGAATTGCGGCTTTCATCGAGGGATCGGCTACTGCGTCTATGTCTACGCTTCCCTCGTATGTGTAATGGTAAAAAACATTAACTGCTTCCTCAGCCGCCTGTTCAAAAAACCCAAGTGAAAATTTACTTAAATGCTCCCTTATCATTGAAGTTATTAGTATTATAATATAAAATACACACAAACGCACCTTCCCTCGTTGTTTGTAACCAAATATAAGATCGATCCAGTGATGTAAATTCTCTGAAACATAATCAGATTCCAGAGCCTCTCTATGCTTCTTGATGAACTCTCTAGCACTACCTTTGGCCCAAGGAGGCAATCCCACGTCTCCAATCTGGGAAAGTAACCAGTTGTTAAAAATCACCTTCCTGACCTCGACATTTGCATTTATCAAAACTCAAAATAACGAGAACAGACCTTTTCTCCAGATTGTTTCTCCCCAAGGTCAAGATGAAAACGGTTTTCCAAGAATTCTGGCAGATAAAAGAATTCGGGGATCAATTCCTTAACATCTGAGGTGTTGGATTTTCCAGCAGCACTCGACCAAGTATCATGTATGTTATGGAAAAGTCGGTCAGCATGGTCAAACTGCCCCCCCTGAAGCTTTTGATTTTCTGAACTAAATGGTGGCAGCCTTATCAGATAGAACAGCACGATTCCGGCACTAGAATAGTGAGAACCGTAATGAAACTTGGGAATCTCTGGATCATCCCAGCTGTCAAACCTGACCAACAAAACCATATCATGCTTTCATTTCTTTCTATTACACCAGCTTTTACTGTATTTATGAATTATTATTTTTCCTTATTAAGGTATTGTACTTTCACCTTTTTTTTTCTTATTTAGACATTGTACTTCGAAAGATCTACCTGACATTGCCATATCCTATAAATGGGGTAGATTTTCAAAGTATGAAAGTGCATTGCTATTTTGAAATTCCAAAATACTAAATTATAAAGGAGGCCAACCTTTTCTTGAATTCCAATTCCCCCTCCATTGTTTGGCATCCCATAGGCTTGTCAAGCTTCCGGAATGTTTCCGGATTGGTGAAGTCCAAATTCTCATTCTCATAATCCGACAAAATCCAAGGGAAAACCGGATATTGAGTAAGATCACTATACCCCCGGCCCGCAAGTGTATTCACATGCATCAAGTACTGGAAATTACTAATTTCCCCATTTTGCCACATCTTGGAGAATGATTTCTCCATAATCTTAAACGTGCTTTCCTGTTTCACTGCTCCCGAAATCGTTGGGTCCAACCTATATATATCATTTAATGAAAACAAATTTCCACAAGTCAGCAACCAAAATAATAATAATACAAAGATTTTATTTTTATGTGGATGAAAAAAAAAAAAAAAAACAACATACATGGTGTTTTTCGGAAGATTGATTGCATTCAGATTTTTAAAAACTTCCTCCCTCTCTTTTTTATGGAAAACAAGAAGATCATTACATCCATCCATACTGAATATTTCAACAGCAACAGGACGTAACTGGTAATCACGTTTTGAAATCTCATGGACAGTATTAACCTTCCACATCCGCCATAAATGAGGTACATTGCTACTATTAATGGCCTTGTCCCTCCCCCATGCCCCACTATTGTGGGCCCACGCCCTTCCCCCAGTGGACACTTTCCCATTTGTGTCCCATGACATCATCGAATTTGTCATGCTTAAAGACGCGTCTTTTTTAACCCCCAAAGCTCGATCGATAACCGAGATATCATCTTCACTTTCTTTTTCACATATGCATCCGGAATCATCGATGTAGAAGTTCTCGATAATGTAAAGGGAACGTTCTCCTATTAGAAACACCCCATCATGTTTATCAAGACTCACGACTCTTTCGCAATTATATTTTGATTTTATTTTCTCGTTATGTTCAAGATAAGGTCTAATCAAATACTCCCCATTGTCACTTACTTCTTTCTCAACCTTTTCCTCTACTGTTGATGTTATTCGAACGTTTTCAGAAACTATCGAAGCATCCCTTCTCAATGAAGGCGGAGCAACTGTACTTGATTTGATACTGAATTCTGCAGCTGAATGTACGCTTGCTTCATAAACACTGTCATCTCTATCTCTTCCATCATTCCACCCGATTCTAGTGGACCCCGCGTCTTTCACATTGTCAGATTCTTTAAAAACCGAATCATCATACAACTCCTCATCGAACAATTCATGAGGTAAAAAATCAGACCCACCGAGGTCAATTTCGTCTTTCTCCCTAGTCAACAAAAACTCTCTTCCACCTTCAAACTCCCCGTTTAAAATCATTTCAATCATGTCGAATTTTAATTTACAGCGTTCGATTTTTTTCCGCATTCGATACGGGCCTTCTATTGGACAAAGCTGCCAGTTGGGCTCTTCGATTGAAACCGATTTGAGAACTGGGAAAATACCACGTTCATGTACAAGTTGTTGTAAATGTGTCTGCCATTCACTTTCAGCATGGAGCACCCATCCGTATTTATCTTGTCTCACAACTCTCAATTCTGTACACATTTGATCACAAACCGATTCCAATGCGATTCTTCTTTCGTTTATTTGTTCCCAATGTCTTTGGTCAAACTTTCTCGACTCCTTTGACTTTTTAGCAATCTCTTTTTTCCGACGAGCATCCATGTTTTTTATTCTAACTCCCGGGAACTTTACAGACCCCGAGATATAATTGACCCACATGATTGCAGCACCTTGTTCTAACGTCTTGCTAACGAGAAGCTCAGATGTGTTGAACCAATCGAAAAAAGACGATGTTGTCCCTGTCACAAGTCTGTCAAAACCACCATGAAAAGCATCCAAAACCGGGCCTTGATTCGGTTTCGAGGCTAGAAGGTCTTCCAAAGCGGTTTTCCGATAGAGCAGAAGATATTTGAGAATCTCAACTGCTGAGTTTTGTGCGTTTTGTCTATGATCATGTAAAAGAGATGTTAAGTTTATACACAGACAGCAATTTAGATCATTGTCGGGGTTACTAGGGCAGAAGATTAATCGTTTATGAGCCACGAGTACTTGCAACACTGTGCTGATATCAATCACTCCATCTTCAGATCCATGGAAAACCAATCTTTGTTTCTGTTCGATTTGCAAACCCAGGCGTGATAAAAGTTCATCTTCTCCAACTGATATCAAGAACTGTGGATGAAAACAGTACATAATTGTTCGATTCATGTTTTTAAACATCGAAAGTATATAAGCATCCAGTTGTTTTGATCTCCCTATTGATAAGATTCCTTTCCCGGGTGGGCCCGCTTGTTCGATTCTACCGTCTTTATTTGCTAACTGCAGCATTGACAACAAAAACTCAAGGGTTTTGAGTACTCCGGAAGGTTCCGGAAACGCGCCCATGTAAACACGGTCAACAATCATAACACACAATGCGTCTAAATTCGATGACCATCGCACCTTGTCAAGTTTCTTATCGTCTTCTTCATCGTCACGCAAGATTCGTCTTTCTAGAAAGTTCATCAGTCTGCTGAGACACAGACCTTGAAAAACTAATAAAGATTCAGCATCAATGTACAAAGGACCGTTTTCCAAAATGGTTTCGATTGCTTGTGTTGCTTTTAATTGGTCGGTTACAACATCGGAAAGAACTTCTGCCATGAAATCCAGAATGGCAGTTGCTCCTGCTGAACAGGGCCCACCTCCATAACCAGAATCATCTGCATCAAGTAACAGAAGCGGGTTGATTGGGAAGTATGTGTCTGTGGGATTTTGTAGTTGGGTTGTTCGTTTGGAGTCTGAAGATGTGTCGTATTCGTTTAGAGATAGAGTCATGGATACAGAAGATGCCATGGAAGGAGATGGAGCTAACTTGGGTTTTGATTCGTTGAAATTGGGACTTTGCCATGAACTCATAGCAAAAAGTTGCGATGATGATTGTGCTTTGTGGACCCCGGTGGTTTTTTCTGATAAATATGGAGAATCAAATATGTTTAGCGATACACAACTCAGGGAACTTCCTTGGCGAGTAGTTTTGCGACCATTGAAATCTTTAGTGTCGGGTTCTGCAGTGGACGCCTGATTAACTTCTCCAACTGGATTCTGTGATTCCAGAGTGGTTTTGGGTTCAGGGAAACTGAAATCTTTTGTGTCAGATTCTGCAGTGGACACTTGGTCAACTACTTCAACTGGATTGTCTGATTCCGGGGTGGTTTTCTGATCATCTAAGCTGAAAATTTTAGTGTCAGATTCTGCAATGGACACTCGGTCAGCTACTTCAACCGGCTTGTCTGATTCCTGAGTGGTTTTCCGATCATGGAAACTGAAATCTTGAGTGTCGGATTCTGCAATGGGCACCTGATCAGCTTCTTCAACCGGCTTGTCTGATTCCGGAGTGGTTTTCTGATCTTGGAAACTGAAATCTTTAGTGTCAGATTCTGCAGTGGACATTTGATGAACCACTTCAACCGGCTTGCGTGATTCCAGTGGGGGCGAGGTTATGTTATTCGGTTGATATCCATCGGAATTGGTTGTGGCAGCAACAGGAGCATCTTCAGAACTTGTGCCTGGAGGGAAGCTTCCAAGACTTATGGAGGTTTTAGAATAGTGTTCCTGATCAAGTGGCAAGCTATTGTGAGAACTAGGACTTTCATCACACTCATTTAGATTTTTGTCTTCTGACTTCACTGTCAGCTTTTTTGCCATCTTCACAGCATGAGCTGACCTACAATTTACAAACACACGATTATTAAGGTCTTCGACACAAGCTTACTAAATAATAAAACAATGAGCAGATTGCAAAAAATAGCAACGTACTTTACTCCAAACATACTTAATATGTTACAGATAATGGCAATATGTAAACCCATAAGAGCAACATACTTATATCCTTTTACCCATGATAGCTACGCACATGCAAATTTTTTTAGAGATATGAGCAACATGTGTAATGAAACTTGTAATCATTTTGCAATGTTCAGGTTAGAAGTAATTGTCATTATGGATAAAGATGCAAAATATAAATTTTGGGCATTGCCCATATTGGTGCTGAAAGTAAAGTAGGTTGTCATGCCATGTAACAATCCCTAATATAATACACACAGATAAGCCAAGGGGAAGATGTAGAACCTGACACAAGAGAAATAAAGATCCACACACTTCTCAAGAAATTCAGCTCTCCTGCACACAGCAGAGAAAGGTGGACAAATTTTGGCTAGGTCAACCATGAACCTAAGGACAGAAGTCGCAGCAGCAGGAGCAGAAGCATCTCCACCCATAAGCCTGGCAGCATAAGTTTTGTGCATCAAGGCTTCACCCTGAAGCTCTCCTGTCATCTCTGTACATGCATCCACAAGCTCTGCAACAAGCCCAGCAGCACCAGTTTCATAGGCAATCATTGTTCGAATGGACAGCCTATCAAATGTGGATTTCGCCATAGCAATCACAGAATCTAAAAGTTCTAGAAATTTCAACTCTGTATGACTTCCATCACTTGGCATAAGGGCATGAAAGTCCAACAAACGGACTTCAGGTAATCTTGGATAAACGGGTTTCCCAAATATGAGACAAAACAGTATGTAATATATGTCAGGGGAATCATAGAAGCTAGGAAGCACCCTCACCAGACCTTGGTACCCGCCACCTGTCCGAAACTTGACAGAAAAAGTAGGAGAAGAAGTGAGACACACACCAAGAAGAGTCATCACCCACCTCATGGTTGTAGGATGAACTGCTTCATCAAAAAAGTAAGTTATCAACTTGGAGGAGACAATCTTATGCCACTGTTCAAGAAGCTCTTCTGATGTAATGGTCACTACTAGATCAATTAGCATCTCAAGCAGCATGTTTCTAACAATAATGTGTTTCCCCATTGACTCTCTTAAAATCTCATTTCTTGATGTCAGCTCCGGTGGATCAAAGGTCATGATCACAAATCTAACAACATGTTCCAGTTCAGAAACCAAAAACCCATCTTTCAAAATCACTCCTAGCAGAGTGACTAACTTTTCTAACACAGGAACTTCAACATCACCCCTGTGAAGCGTCACTAACAGATGCTGAAGGAGGTTTATCCTACGCAAAACTGTAAGATTATGGTTTCGATACCAATGCATTGAAACTAGATTTTCAAGAAATCCCAGAAGAGAAATTTGTATTGGAACTGTTGCTGCTACCCACAAAGTCCAATCTAGTAACACATGTTCAACCATATCTGGATTTGAAAGAACAACACAGTTTGATGTTTCTGTTGGTAAGTCAACATTTATATCGAGTTCTGAGATATGACTGAAAGCATCTTTATTCCCTAGAAAATCATCCATATCTCCATGAGAACCACCAGAAGAAGCATCATCATGAAACTTTGACAGGTCCTCAAAGCTGGCTTCTTTGACAGGCTCAACAGGTGACATATTATTAGTTTTTTCCAACTTTTTTGGTCCATGAAACGAAGCCTCACAAGCAGCTATCTGGAAAAAGATGTCGAGTGAATGCATGTCAAATAGTGACATTTTTGGATGTAGTAAAAGTGCTAGCAAGTGGTATCCTCTATATGATTGCATGTCTCTGACATTCTGAGGATTTTGGAGAAGTGCACAAGAAAAAAGGGTTAGCGCCATATGCAGCATGTCTCTGGTTTCAGCTACTTGAACAAGGGCTAAAATAAGAGCTATTCCACCAATGGGACGCATTGTTTCGCCTATTGTAGAATGTTTGCATACATAAATATCTCCATGAAGGCGTCCATATCGGGGTATACCTGGAGGAAGAAAACACTAGTGAAAATATCGACTATGAAGATGATGAAGTTGGGTTAAATTAGGATTTATGTCATAATTTAGCAACCAATTATTTCGTGTGTACTCATTTAGTCACTATTCTCATTTTGATGTGTCTGGGATGGTAACCAACTCTAATGTCTGTTCAAAATATACCATTTTGACCTGCTATTGCAGGTATCCAGTTGAGGTGGCATCCAAATTGTTGCCTTTATTTTATATTGTTTAAATAATATAAATCACAATAAAGATCCATTAATCGTTAGTTGAATAGATCACAAAAGCAAGAAAAAGCCATATATCAAAGTTGAGTCCTATGCACTTAAGTTGTTGGAACAAGTTAAACACAGATTGTTCTCGATATAACAATTTGGATGCCACGTCAGCATCACATGTCACCTCAACAAGACATAAAAGATGCTATAGCAGGTTGGTACATTTTGAACAAACATTAGAGTTGCTTACAGAATAATTGGTTGTTAAATCATATATTCATGACATAAACTATATATATATATATATATATATATATATATATATATATATATATATATATATGGAATCATCAATTTATAACAAACAAACCTCCAATTGGAGAAGCAGCAGCTGACAATGGATCGACTAAATTGAGCATTGACAAGGTTCCGGATACTTTAAAAGCTTCTGTACATGTTCCATCGAATGAAAATATTAGTTTTTTTCCAGAAAGCTGTAGCGAGAAATTTCTTAATATTTCAAGATCCCAAACAATGCCACTGCGATCGGTTTTAGAAGTGTCCTGCTTATTAGCACTCTCGGGCTTCTGTGTGTTGGAAGAAGAAGCCAATGCCAAATCAGTTTCAAGGGAATCTAAAATGGACATACTTCCACCACCACAAGCCTGGTTTGGGAGATACTGTAACAAATTTGTGTCTTGGAAAAGACCCCTATACCCTCTGCCAAGAATGTACATAAAGAAAATAGAACCAGGTGTCAATACTTCTTCAAACAGATAGCAAGACCGGATTTTCCATGACAGGTCACTGACCCTTGCACAAGCAACCGGTGTCCCGATTGTTACCTGGAGAGACTTCCCAGAAGATGTTGGAGAGTAGCCTAATCTACCTGTGTGTCTAAGTTTTCCATTAAGATACACATGTGAAACACTAGCTTGAAATAGTCCAGCTAGTGCATTCGGTTTGCTGTGTACCACAGCAAGATGATGCCATCTGTACTCATCTATATCTAACCCTGAAAAAGATAATGAAGACGAATGGCTGGTTGCTAGGGTTAATGTTCCATCATCTTGAAGATAAATCTCTGCATAGAATGTATTGTTACTGCTAACATCTGTACCACCAACAGAGAATATTCGCATGACTTGTTGACCTGTTGTTGTACTTGTGGCATCTGATTTCAACAAGTTTTGATACTGAAACCAACAAACAAATGAGTAACCAGCAGCAGGGGGCCATGACCTCTCGCCTAATGGTACTTGAATACAAGCATGCCCTGATTTGCTCATATCCATCTCTATAAACGCTGCAAGTGGAATGCTTTCTGAATCTGTAAACCTCTCCATCATATCAACAAGAGTCTGACCCAATTTCATCTGTTTCACTTGCAAAATATATCTTATAATCACTCGCAGCTCTGCTGATGTCAACCTGTACGCCCCAAGTACTTCAATGATTCTTAAAGCATGGGGAAGTAGAGAGGATGAACCAGAAAGAAAAGGATATATTGTCTCAAGGAGAAGTTCCACACAACCTAACAACAAATACCAAGGTAAGATGCTACTTAACTATTTAGATAATTACAAGGCAGTTTATCAGAGATCAGATTATTACAAGTTAAGTCATCATCAAGTATTTAAAAAAAAAAAAATAGAATGGGACTAACAATTGACAAATTATGTGCAGGAATACCTGCAGAGGTAAGGCTTTCCTGGTTAAAAGAGCCAACACGAGCAAGTTCTTCTAGAAGTTTTAAAAAGTCCACTTGAAGTTTTGGACTAAAAAGCAACAATAAACGGATGAGAACCTTCACTGCAGCAGCATTATATATGCGGTGCTTATCAGGATGAACAGAGGCTGATGGTGTGATTATTCGGAAAGTACTAGAGACGTTGTCAAGATCATCAGATGCTTCACTAGTTTCTGGTTTGAAGGAGGGTGGAAGGAGAATCTCAAGAGCAAGTTCAAAGAACAACTGCATCACTTGCTTTTCATAATCCATACAGATCAATCCAGATTCGGATAGAACATCACAGAAAGTATGTGAAGATATAATCGCATGCAGTTTTATTCTGTTAACAGCATTGTTGGATGTTCCACAAGTTATGACACGTAACATATATGTGAAAACTTTCATGCAGACTGTTGATGAGGACTGGCTGATGTGGCCTTTATCTCCATGGAAACTATGAAGTGTTGTTAGGATAAGGGAAAACCCAGAGGCTTCACCAAATACTCTTTGAGCAGAGCTGTTGGCTCCTAAAACTCGCCATACGGCTCCAAAAATATCACATTTTGCATCATCTGTGAGCTTGTATTGAGCTCCTGAAGTGCTGATTACCATCCCACTCTTTGAAGCTTCAACCAGTGCACCCAATTCATCTGGATGAGCCTATGATTGAAGATTACAGATTTGATCACTTATTAAGTTCCAATCATAGAAATAAAAAGCATGCAAACCAATGCCTTGAATATTCAAAAAAAAAAAAATGCTGCTTCGTATCTAACTTGATTATACAAATAAGGTTGTTACACCTACACGTGAGGGGTTAAAAGCAAGTAGAAAGTTAGGGACTGATTCTTTTTTTTCATTAAGTCATGTATGGTTAAAGTGGCTGAATTGGTTATGATGTTGTAAGGATAAAGTGATGTAGAAATAAAGTATTTTTCTTTTCTAGACTGAATAAACCATCTGAATGAGACTAAATGACCATTTTACCCTTACATACCAAAAAACAAATCATACGATATTCATCAGTTTTAACATGAGAGGAGTTCAGGGAAAAAGGACAAATAGGTAAAAGGATAGTGTCTTAATCTATTAAGCCATGTTTTTTTGGCTTAACCCATTAAGTCAAAACAAACAGTCATGTAGAGGTGTCCTATCTCAAAAAGAAACAGTCCCTTAGAAAAGCTAAACATTGCCAACCTGTGTAGAGTCCTCAATGATTAAGCATGATAATACCCTTAGGACACCAGCTCGGTGGACATCAGATGCCAAAAAAGGAAGAGCAGTAGTAACACCATCACCAGAACGAAAGATCGCTTGATTATGTTCAGCTTTCCTCAATAAAGAAAGCACACAATCCCAAGCAGCTGGAATTATACATTCAGCTTCAAAAAGAGGAAAACTTCCAGAGCCAGAATCCAATAACCTAGGAGATGATAGAATCACATCTTTACTGTCTAAATGTTTCATGAAACCGTTTGGGTTGGACTTCCTTTCCATCTCATGAGGGCTATCATTGTCATTTTGCTCTGGGCCCACAAGAAACTTGTGCTGTTTAAGATCATCTAATAGAACATCCAGCACACCCACTTCCCGTAAGAACTTTTTGTACTGTTGATCAAATGATACGAGTTTCACAAAGAATGATAAGATGGTGCGCTTTAATTCGGATGTTACTGGTTGTTGCAACAAGCAGCAAAGTGAAAGCAACTCTTGCTCTGGTATGCAATTTACAACAGTCACTGCATATTCAAGAATCTTGAGGATAATTTCTTGAAAGGAAGAAGGGAAGCCACCCATGTTTAGGATCAAAAGGGGAACAGTTCGCAGCTGTTGACATAACATGTAGTTTTCAAGATGACTTGAGAAGATTTTAAACATTCTATTTAACACCTCAGCCTGAAGCTCCCTGCTATTTGCTTTTAGAAATATGTCCTGAAGCATTTGGACAGCATCTAGGTCTTTAACTTTGTAAGTGTCATCGGGATTTAGACGGTTTTTTGTACCCTTTGAGCCAGGGGTCCCGGTTGACTCAGTTGCACCTGTTTGAGCTAGATTAACAACAACATCAAGCAACCTGGAAAGCGTGGGTGTGAGAGATTCTGATGAGGTGTCATAGGTGTCCATGTCATTTGTTGATTTTGACCCTTCTGAATCGGGATTTTGTTCAGAGTGACTGATTTGAGAGCCCTGATCTCCTGAAAGAACTAATGCGAACTGAATCAGAAATTGGTATCCATGAGCATTGTGAATGTCTTCCCTGAGCCTAATACCACCGGCCTCTACAAATCAAAATTATTTCCAGTCAGCATCAATGAACAACTTATCAGCACTATATATAATCAGGCTTCAATCCAAAATAAAAAAAACAAATAACTGACCATGTCGATATGACAATTCCACACATTCAAGCAACAAGTCCACAATACCCGTTGTATAAGCAGGGTCTCCAGATTCAGGACTAAAGCCCTTCACGCCCATTAACAGGACTTTTATCTGCACATGACAAATTATTACACATCAAAAGGGCTGTTGTAAATTGCATGTTGCATATATATAAGGTATGTTTCTTTTCTAGACCGAATAAAGCATCTGAATGAGACTAAATGATCATTTTACCCTAAGATCCCAACAAACAATTTTCATAATTCAGCAATTCCAAAAATATTCATCAATAATAACATGAGAGGAGGATTTGGGTGGGAAAAATAAGAAGGGTGAATAGGTAAAATTTAAAACATTAAGCCAAGTTATTCAGTCCAGATTAAGCAACAAAAAAATAGCCATGTATAGTTGTCCAGAAAAAGTGGTTAACCCATAAAGCTCATTAAGTAAAAAAGAAACAACCCCTAAGAGCGTATAGAGTAAGGAATAATGTAGTGGCTAACCAACTACTCAAATCTTGCCACATGGCATCCACAGAAGTCTTAAGTTCAAATAATCAAGAAAAGCGACATGGTTACTCAAGAATCTTAAACAACCTAATTTTATTTCAGGATAACAGAATGTGATCATTACCAGCTGGTGCTTCCTTATGTATGCAGCAGTGCTTCCATTGTCACTGGCCAGAAGAAGACCCAGTACCTGGATAAGAGGGAAAGAACAACAATTGTATTAGGTTAAAATTAAGACAGAATTTGTAGTCATGAAGATGTGGTGACAATAATTAGGTGCTGAGTTGGAATCTATACAAATGTTTTAAAGATCACCTGCATTGCATGCCTATGAAGCTGAATGGTGTGCAAGGGTACAAGACCTTCCTTGTATCTTGAAAATAGAACCAAAGACCCGTTGGCAACCACCTCAAAGAGCTGCTTTAGAGAATCATCTTCAATCAAACCTTGAGCAGCTGCAGAATGGCTTGCCAATGCCTTCATGATATGCAGAATACTGCCCTCTACCTTCAACAACAAAACTAATCATTAGCAAACTTATCAATATTTTCATTTAAATATAAAATGATAACAAATGGCATACCTCAAACCGCTTATCTGGAGCTACATTCTCTGTTACCTCCGAATCCTCAGTAGTGACAACATGTTGCCTCGCATTCCCTCCATCAGAACCCAAAAGAGCATCAAGAATATGAACAAGACAACACATGATCCCAGAATCAAGGAGAGACTGTTTATCAATAGGCTGCAAACAATGTGATAAAGATTCATTATTGAGAATTGAGATAGACCTAACAATAAGTTAAAACCACAAAATTATTTATTTCTGAAAAGGAAGGCTTAGAACGTACCCCAGAAACAAGAAATCCAACTGCATGTAATAGATTTGAACCATACAGAATTCCATCCTGTAGAAGTCAAGCATAAATGTATGTACACATAAAAACCAAGTTCATAACTCCACATTGAATAAGCAGGTGAGAAAGACAGAAAGAAAAGAAAACCTGAGTATCCTCAGAGAAAAAACGTATCACACTTTCAATCTCTAAGGATCTTGTCTTATTGCTAACTTTTAACCTTTCGATATCTGAGACAAATGCTCTACCCACCACAAAAGAAAATATGTGTGTCTCTACTAACCTGTGGATCAACAAGAATCCTTGTGAGAATTACAGTTATTTCCTTTATCGTATTTAATCACCAACTCTACATGGTTGTAGAGCAATTTAACGATTCTTAATTAAGGAATATCAAGGCAATATAAAAGGACAAGGGGAGTCGATTTCATACAAGGTATTTAACTGTGCTATGTTGGAATGCTGCTCTACTAATCTACAGAAGACATCAATAGTGACATTCAAGGCTTTTTCCTTCTCCTGCATGGACAAATTGAAACCATGAACCACAGTCAGCAGTTATTCTAAAATTAAATAATGATAATGAAATGACTTATAATTGAAACATGCACCAACCGTCTCTGAAGTCGATGTTCTAAACTCTTCCCAAGATCTTTTGAAGTCCAATTCCAGTTCATATCTTTCTCTGCATTAACCAGGTAAAAATAAATGAGATACAAGGTGAATTCAATGTATCCTGAGTGATTGAGTGGTTTACAACTTACATTGATAATAAATATCTAGAAATTAAGATTTAAATAAATGATTTCGCCTTAATAGGCAAGAATACTCCATCATACGCCAAAACACGTGAATACGCCCAAGCATGTGAAATTATCATTGAACTTGCATGTGTTCAATATATTTGTTTTGACATTAATGTCAAGACCTCACACGGACACAGTCACACATGATGACACAACTGCATATATCTCACAACTCTTGAAACCACATCCATCTCACATCAACTGCGACCCTTTATAGATGACAAAAAATGCAAGCAACTTGGTTTTGGTCATTTTGAGCATTTACCATTTTCATTATGTGGGTCATGTGGAGTGATAGAAAACAAAGATTTGAGTATTCCATCTACATTTTGTTGAGGTTGTATTTCTTAAATCATCTAGTTCCCTTTCTTTATTGTCCATGATTTTCCAGTTCCAAAACATCATCCAAACACTTTAGTTTGTTAACTTCATATAGATTACTACAGGAAAAACAACGCAATTCCAGGATACCTACTGCTCCGAGTTCTTGACAAGTAAAAATAACATGTATCTCTTTAAATGATCAACAGACATCGTTTCCATACTAATGTGTCCCGTAATTGAAAAGAAAAAACGGGAAACAGAAAGAAAAAAGAACTGACCTTGACAAGGGGTCATCGTAGCTTGAAGAAGTGGCATTGTTACTATTCTGGTCAGGATAAGGGGATGAAGAAGATGCAGCTGATGTAGGCGCTGAGAATCCTACCTTATCTTTGATGTCTTTAAACAATGATACCCATTTCATCGTTTTAATTAACACTCATCGGCCGGAAAATAAATTAAACAAAACAACCAATCAATTTAACGGCACACCAGCACCGATTATATTTAATATCCGGAGAATCTCCGAGCTCATAAACCCTCCGTCAACTAGTTTCAAAATCGGGATAGAAAAATATCGAAGTGAGCTGATCGATCGGAATCAATTAGGGAAAAAAAAATAAAGAAATCAAGATCTAAGATGATAATATTCAATTCTTTTTTTGCTGATCTGTCTGCTAATTTTTCCCCAAAATCAGTGAAATCACATTGCCTTAATTTACTCGTGTTTTAAGATTTTCCTTTTACTTTTGGTGCCCTAACTCTAAACTCCGAATGTTTTCGGACGGCAACTCCACGCCTCGTTTCTCGCTCGGTTTTTCCTTCTCTTTCTTTTCCGCCGCTTAAGATTTTGAAATTAATAATATCTTTTTGCCCACTAAACTTCTCTATAATGACAAAATTGACTCTTTTTTTTTTTGAAATTGAGTAATCTAACCTGTTTTATATTTTGATAATAATTACCATTTTTCCTGTAAAATTAACATTTTTTTGGAATATCGTACTCCATAGTACTTACAGTCATTCTAAAATTGGTGTCATTGGTAGGTATCCGATCCAGAATTTAACAATCGTAAGTTCCGGACTATCAAAATGAATTATGGACTATGTTTTCCGGAATAAGAAATTCCAAAGTATCTATGTTCATTTTGGAGTTGATGGTAATTGGTAGAATTCGAGGCTGGAATATGACACTCGTACGTGCTAGCCTTAAAAGTGTATTTCGGACTGTACTCCGGAATGTACGACTATTTCGAAATGTCCCTTTTCAAAGTGGTAAAAATAGGTTATTTTGTGTTCTTTGTTCATCCCAAGCTAAATGCAGTATATTTGTGTATTTGTTCCCCTAATTCGTTTACAATTAACGTTCTTTGATAGTTTTCTAAAAGAATGTGTATGTATGCAGATTTTTTTTTTAGTGTCAATTTCTAGTGGAGGGCAATGGCAACGTATCAAGGCGTATATGGAGTATAATGCTCCAGCCTACACATGTTTTTGTGTATATATAAGTTGCAATATCAACTTTATTGGGTTGTGATATCAACGTATCCGAGACCACTTTTTAATTTTCGCATCGCGACCAACCTTGGTCGCGTCGAGTTTGTGGACATCGATATTTCTTCTTATTAAGCCCTTAATCCATGAAGATAAACGTCTCATACTTTCCATAACCCATTGATGAAGTAAAGTTGGTTGATTTTTTAATACACCACATGAATGACATAGTTGACTTATCATTAAACTAAATGGGACAATACTTGTGAATTAATTTAATTTGGCTATAGCAATTCATAAACACAAATTACCTCGACTCTTCTTTGTTATTAAAATGGTTAGAAGGGCTTTTAACACACTCCCTTAATTGACGTCACAAAACCAATGAAGCATATAACATTGTGAAAATCAATTAGCTTTAAGTTTTTAAAGTTACCAAGTCCAAAAGATAATAAAATGCTTACATTTAGCATTATGGTGGAAACATTTCTATGGTTTAAATGAAATGAATACAAACATATAAATCATTTGTTGATTACTAATTTGAAGGTTCATTACTTAACCAATAAATTAGTCAACAAAATAAGCATTCATTCATCCAAGCTCATGATCAAAGACAAATAAACACAAGAAGATGTTTGACTAGAAAACATTTTCATAAACTTCAAACAGAAGTATTCAAAGAAAATAACCATCCATTGGTCAAACCCTAACAACCAAACATAAATCTAGCTAATGATAACCAAAATGAAAGAAATACAAAGTAGTTTAGAGATACCAAACATGGTTTAAGATGCAAGGATGAAAAAAAAATAACCCAAGCTTCAATTTCTTTCCAACCTTCTTGAGAGCAAAAGTGTGTTGTTCTTGTATGTGTTCTTTCCTCTCTCTCTCTCTCTCTCTCTCTCTCTCTTTCTCTTTCTCTTTCTTTTTCTCTCTTTCTCTTTCTCTCTCTCTCTCTTTTTTCTCTCTCTCTCTCTCTCTCTCTCTCTCTATATATATATATATATATATATATATATATATATATATATATATATATATATATATTCAAAATCTCCAGTAAAAAAAAAGTCCAATTTCTAGATCCAAAAGCACCCCACCAACTTTCCCCTAATAAAGGTTCATAGCAAAAAGTTGGGTCCTTCACAACATTATCCACGTAGACCGTTTGTGGATCCACACGAACTGCGTGGGTCTTGCTGAATGGACTCCTTGGCCCATATAATCAGCATACCAGCCCACTCTTCTCATCAATGACTCAGCCCATTTGTGCAAGTTCTCGATAGCTTAATTATGCCTTCCAAAGTCTTCAAAGATGCTCCAATGCTCCTTTAATCTTCTATAGCTCAAATTCTCTTTACCTCGTATCATTCTCGTCCAAAGATTAAGTCTAACTCGCTTTCTTTGTTCATGTTGACACCAAGCTCAATCGCACCACTTCAATTCCACAAGCAAACCGCAAGCATCCAAAGCTCACACACTCCTTCCATACCTCCATGTTGAATAGTCTGCGATAAATCATGCAATTAAGCTCAAAAGACTATAAAGTACCCGATAAAGGTGAAAAATAACAAAATGGAAAAATATGCATAGATATTGACTAAAATGAAATGGAATGAATTAAAAACAAATTAAGAAAAAAAAAGTAATAAAATGAACCTATCACGAGTATTAACCTATAATGTTTTAACTTACAAGTCCTTATGGTAATTTTGTAATGGAAACTAGATCTTTCACTAATCCCAATGAATACCGAGAGTTTTATCAAATAAGGATCAACCAGTCTTGACAGTGGGGAAACATAACCATTTAAGCATATAACCTTTCTAAAATCCAACAACCAAATCAACTTGACCATTCTAGACACTTCTTCCGTAAGTAGGGATTTATAAGTGTAACTTCTATCAAATAAAAACTATAACTATATATATAAATTACACTTAAATCAGATCAAGTGCAACTTAACTTACAATGCTTTCTAACGAGAACCGGTAATTGGGTGGGTAGAACTCTGGCCCAATTATTTCTATTCTTCCGGCTCTCTAATGTTGAATGGCCTCACTAAAGTAGTTGGGAACTAGGGAGAAAATAGAGTAGGGTACAAAAGAGTTCCAAGAGGTTTATGGGGCTGAAAGGTGTGAGAAATAAGCTGAGAACGAAGTCTATTTATAGAAAAAATTCGGGAGGCGTGTCGTGTACATGGTCGGTGCGCGCCACACACCTGTTTGGGTGTGATGACGTAGCGTCGTTTAGGTGGTGACACGTGGCGAAATGTTGGTGGAGTGTCAGGGTGTGATGCACCTGTTGTCTGTGTGCGTGGTTGTGCGCGAAAAAAAATCATATTTTCTTCATAAACTCATATATTCTTCATATGAGCTCCCTTTTTGACGCATTTTATATCCATGTTTAGCTATCAACGATATCTACAACTTTCATTTAGACTCTAGCGGCTAATTCTCACTTTATTTTTAAAGCTATAATTTTAATATGTTGAGACTGTTAAATTTCGTATAAAAATCATAACTTGTCCATACAAATTTCGTTCTCGATTGTCTTTATATTTATAGACTCCTATTATCGAGATATTTAACCCCCATTTAGATTGTTTTTCTTAACAATCAATTGATATTGATTTCAGTTGTTATGTCGCACACTGTTATGCTGAAAGTTTTAAAAATCATAATGTTCTCATGCGAAGTCAAATTTGGATGGTTTCTATATGCACACTCTTGGTTTTATGATTACTAAGACTTTCGTTTGGATTGCTTAGGCTAATAAGTCATCTATCGATGATTCGTATTTTGCGACACACATAGTCATATCAGTTTAATCATGAAACTTCGAAGAATCATATCTTCTTCATACAAAGTTGGATTCGTGTGTTCTATATATGTACAAAAAATATATTGATGTTTCCTACATGATTATGATGATTACTTTGGCTAAAAAGTAATATATATCTACTTCAAATTTTATAAGTGACGGTTTATATCAAATTCTATTGGAATGCGAAAATATGGCATTACACAAAGAGGCTAGGGTATTGAAGTTTAGGGTTTATGGGGATGGAGGTTGAGCAAATATGGAAACCCTAGGAGTTAGTGCCTTTAAATCGGGCTCAATGTATGAGATCAAAGTGTGGCACATGCGACATGTCACGTGCTTCCATTAAACACGTTGCAAACTAGAGCTTTTCCAAAAACCTCCTTTAATCATTTTCCTTTGAATGACCAAATTATACGGCATTTTTTACGAGGGCATTTGGTGATCATAATTTAAATATAAAGAGAATGAAACCTCCACATGGATATTCCAAAACTAAACCAATAATAGCATTGAATTTTCCTTTTAAGTTTTAACCATAAATACCAATGTTTTTTTTAAACCAACAATAGCATCATACTTATCCTTTTAACTACAAAGTTTTGTAACCCTAATCATGTAAATCTTATTTAGCATTGTACTTTCATTTGATTATTTGAAATAGCAATGTAATTTCATTTGGTTGTGAGAAGCTACATTTATATGTCTTTTAAACAAATAATTTTATGTAGATATTATGTTGAATATTGTGTATCCACGTCAATTCCGATGAATGGTGTACCCATCAATTCCAATGCATCATCAAGAATATATATAAAATCCACAATATATATATATATATATATATATATATATATATATATATATATATATATTGTGGATTTTATATATATTCTTGATGATGCATTGGAATTGATGGGTACACCATTCATCGGAATTGATGTGGATACACAATATTCAACATAATATCTACATAAAATTTTTTGTTTGAATAGATTTATTGTAATAATACTATAACGAAAATAAATTAAATAAGATGTTATGTAAAATAAAATCGATCGATTATTTTTATATCCATCAACTACAGGTTAAACCGGTTGTTTCATATTTACCTAAAATCCGTAGAAGGTTCATTAGTTTAGGCTGTTTAGTACTCTACTTACTATGTGGCATGTAAATAGATAAGCTATTCGAAGCAGTTTTAGGAACACATAAACCCCGTTTCCAGTTTTCATTGCAACTCGTAAGCAAAAAATGGAAGAAAATTCTGTTCGAATCACAATCACCATACTAGACGCAATTCCATCAGCTGAAGAATTTACTTCCCTAATTGAACCTAAAAATGTCCTTGCTGTAA